TTAATTGTGTTCATTATTATTTTACATGCATATTGTAATGCAAAAAAAAGAAGTCCTGCATTTTTGACATCACGTCTGACAAGATAGAGAAAAAAAAGCGACTTCAAGAGAGAAAGGTATAACAATATTAACAATATTCTTAGCGATGCGTCTACTGAAAATAATGACAACGACGGATGCTCAAAAAAGTAAACAACTCTCCAATGCGAAGCTGGGTTGACTTCACCTAAATATGTTTAGTTATATGTTTATTGTACAAGTGTCCCCGCTTTAATAACTAAATAACACTAGATCTAGTAGATACAGCCGATGTTGGAATCCATTACAGGTGTGAGATTCTGCAAAATATGGAGGAAAAGTTGCTCAATCAAGTGATGCGATTAATACCTGTCAGGGAGACGTCATCAGTATGTATATTAAAGGTTGCAGTTATCAACTAATATAGGCATGTAAATATTCCGAGATTTGGGCGAGGTTGTCCCACCCTTAAACAGACAAAACAAACGAAATCCACAGGCTTATACTTTCATTTTGGAAACGAATAGAATGTGTTAACAAGACACAATGTACCGCCCTCCTTACACAGGGGCTGAGCGTGGTCGACACTGAAAGAAGGTTTGCTGCAATGTAAAACGAAAACTAGCCCAGCGACGTCAAATCGTTTATCGCATTCCACTTCATAGTTGCATTGCCTGGTGATAGCGCAAATGCAGTAATCATTTTAAGAAATGGTATTTCGTTCGGTTGAGCGGGGCGAATTAGAACGAAATGCAGTTCTCAATAAGTGTAAATGTCACTCCGCCATACGCGGATGAAGATTGGAGTAAAAAGGGGGAGTATATAAGGCGGTGCTTAGTCAGCATGGACCATCTGAGCACCGGCAGGCTCGACTTCTTTCAAGTTTATAGTTCATGATCATTATTATTATAATATCTCATTAATAGATTAGATTTTGAAATCGGGCACTATGACCATAAAGTCATGCAATGTCGCAACTCTCAATACGGGAAAAGTACTGTTTAGAGAAATTAGTGGAAACCATACTACTATTAGTCTTGTTCGTCTAGCGGGGGTTTCCAGAGAATTTTCTCGCAAGAGTTTTTCTCTCTGGTTTTTCACTCCGCAGGCGTGCAGGATCAACATACAAATCACAACTTAATTGATTTTATATGATGGCACAAGTCACAGAGAAGTGCATCAGAGGCGTTGAAGTTATTTGTAAAGATTGTCGTTGTGTATGTATCCACAATCTGGGATCTCTATAAAAATTGGATCCATAGTTGACTATTATTATTTAGCATATCATCGTATAAATGTAAATATTAATTTCATGAAGAAGAAGAAAAAAGAAGAAGAAAGAATAAACGGGTAACACTGCAAGGCCTGTCGGTGGCCAACCCAATGTTGTAAAATTGGTGTGACATGTGGGTTATTGAGAAATTGTACTCCCGAGTTCCCCACATTCGGGAGAATACATCATTCAGAGACAGCCTATAAGAATAAGAAGTCACGTAATACTACGATTGGATTGATAGGGCTAGCACGAACGCAGTCCCCACGATCGGAATACGCCATGTGTAACCATGGCAAACTATTTCAATTCCTGAGCTGGAATGGATAGATAATTTTAAATGGTTCTCTCACATTTGTCCTGGCAAAATAAAACAGGTGCTGATTTTCTCGGAGTCCGACTTTCTGGTTCTTGCTAGAGAGCGCCCTCCTTATATGACACTACCTGACCTCTGTCAACCATTTGTCAAAAATTTGACGCATATTTTATCAATCAGAAATTACAGTTCCCACAAAATATCAATTTTTGGAAGATACGTTGGCCAAAATGTTTACTTTTCTGATTGGCCATACTCAATGAATCGGACTGACATACTTGGGTCATCAAATATAAATGGCCATAAACAAAACCCTTTGTCGAAAACAAATTGCAACTTCACAGATGTATAATGGATAGTACATGCATACCAATTACAAGATTTGCCATCAGACAGCCAACATTTTGAGGGAGAGTTTTCTGCGAGTAAAAATATATGATACTGTATTTCAAGACAAGTTAAGACAATCAAGACAAGTTATAAATTTCTCTATTTTCTGATCATCTACATGTACAGGTTTATCCAGTGTTGTGTTCTAACCGAACTTCATTTCAAAACTGTGTTATTCAGGTCCTCACTGTGATCCCAGACCATTTCAGGTCTATCTCCTGAGATGGAATGCTGACCGTGAGGCCAGTGCAGTATTCGGCAGAAAAGGGTGCAAGCACAGGACCTACTCTGGCCCACTGATCAATCGCCTGAACACCCGATGCAGAGCGCTCTTCGGTGAAGAAGAGATTGAGGAAGAAAACTTCAGGATACCAGCAGAATCGAATGATGAACTTCTTGGGCTCGAGTACCTGTTTATGCAGAGCACAGGCAGCACAGATGAGATGCACATCACCTCCTCTACAGCTCTGCGAGACGAGGGCCCCACTGAGGAAGAAGAGGTGATGACCAACGAGGAGAGTGACGAGGGTCTCGATGATGGTTACGACAGTGAGGCTGACCTTACTCAAGGTACTGCTGTCACCCCTGTCTACATTCCCTATTCCATCCTTTGTGGCAAACCAGTGCAAGGCCACGTGAAATATCGAAAGAAGTCGTAAGGACACAAAACAGTATATACCTCTGCAAGTCTCAAGAACAAGGAATTTCTTAACTTTGATCATTTTTAAACAGTTGTTGATGAGCTGTTGGGATGTTAAAGATTGACAAAAGGATAGAAAGAAGGAGATATAGGAGGAATTCGTATTACAATTGAGTGATACGCGACAGAGCGTGACATCGACAAGAAGAACTCGAGACGGGATTTTCTGTTGAGTTTGCTGCTGATCTAACTGGATACTAAAATTCTAGATGTCGCAATAAGGAAGAAGTCATATCACATTTTTGTTTAAAATTGTGCTGAGCCTTCTAAAGGTTTTCTTCTAAGTTGACGCATATTTTATCAACAGACATACAGTTCCCACAAAATATCAATTTCTGAAAGATACATTGGCCAACACTCATTGACCATACTCAATGAATCGGACTGACATACTTGGGTCATCAAATATAAAATGGCCATAAACAAAACCCTTTGTCGAAAACAAATTGCAACTGCACAGATGTACTTATAATGATTAGTACATGTATGCATACCAATTACAAGATTTGCAATATATCTTGCACATCTATTTTCATTTTGTTTGTTTCCAACAAAATTGTTGCCAAGGGATAACGTGCCTTTACACACTATGAAAAAAAACCCCATCCATCTTGAAAAATCCACCATCTTGACAATAAAACAAATGTTTTGAAGACAGAAGAGTCACAATTGTCGCTTTTAAAGTACTGGGTGACAATGTAGAGCTTACTTCATCTGAAGATGGCTTCCCAACCTACGCTGTTGTTGTTCCACTCCTTATGGAAGCACTTGATGATGGTGATGCAGATGTCTCCGACGTGCTAACGAAAAGAGTCCCTTTCGACTGCACACTTGCGCCCAAAGAAGACGATACACTGTCGCTTACTTTGTAAATGGTATACACAGTCGACAGACATATCATGGCATTTCCATACACATGTTTCAACAGGGGCTAAATTCACAGCATTTACCAAACGTTGATTTACTTACCTGCTCGCCCCATCTTCACATACGTACTTAAAATTGCACATGTAAAAGCACGAGTTTTGCATCTAATGAAACGTTCAGATGTCTTGTGTCAAATTACCTTTGAGCCATGTTTACACGTTACTTTTGTTGTATTTTTTTCCAGCCAATTTATGTCTAATTTTTGTTCCGTTTCATTTCACTGTTTGTATTTGCTCTGTTGAGGTCAAATGAATATAATAATCTTAAGTATTTGGGCTCTTGTTAGCTGTTCATTTCTATATTTTGTCATTTTAATGTTTGATACTCATTTTAATGTATATATTTTACTTGTAATTGCTTTATCTTTGGGCTCCTTCAGAATAAACTACTTTCGTTCAAGGTTTTGAAAACAAAAACCTAAGCATGACAAAGAAGGTGTCCAGTCAAAATCTGGCCCCATGAATATCTGTTGTATCCTCTGCTGGTCCTTTTTCCGGGGAATAAATCCACCTCTTTAATATTTTTCAATAACAGGAATATGTCTGTGACCGTTCTTCTCTCTGAAGGGAAAGTAGAGAAGCAGTCAGCTCGTGACAGACATCGCCGCAGAAGAGGGAAAGCCGTCTCCGTCTGCTCAAACAAGAAATGCCATGATTGAGGCTTATATTGTCAGGTGGAAGAATACAACATGAGTCCTAATCAGTTTCATGGTTGGACATAAGGGGACCATGCACGCAAGACAGCCATTACATGTACACATAGAGTTCAATTCAAACATCACATCGAAATGCAAGTCAATGTACAAGCTGAACATCAGAAATTGGTGTTCTATCCGTAACTAAATGAAAACGAGCGGAACAGGCTCGTTTGATTTGACTGCAGACGATAAAATCGTCACTTATAGATACATGTACTGTGAACCCTCAAGATTTTAATCAATCAAGAGGTGTTGGAAAAGTAGCTACATGGAAAAGAATCGCAAAATTACAAGGACGAAAGTAGCAGAGAATAAAAGTGGAGTATTTTCTTTTTTAAACTGGTACAATGATCAGCATGAATGAAACAGGTTTTCAATGTTGCCGTACACGGCCATTAACAAGGCAAAGGAAATTGCTATTGCCCAATACTCACGAGAAATATTCCACAATTTTTAACGCAATGTCCAACAACCTGGCTTTAAACATTACAAGTTCTATTCAAAACGACATAGTCCCAGAAGATTGAAATAGTTTATTGTGCGATTCTTGTTAAGAGTAAACGCATGTAGATACGTTGACGTATTCACTAATTTTAATACTAATCAGTCTTGACTCTTGAGACATGTTTAGATCAGGTTAATTTCATTCCAGCTTCAAATTCTACTTTTTAATTATTGCACGGGGAGAGCGCGAACGCAGTCCCCACTATCAGAAATTGTACTCCCGAGTTCCCCACATTTGGGGGAATCGCAGACGTCATGTCTACAGTAGTGCAATCCTACAGTCTACAGTCTACAATTTGGCACCTCCTCATTGGACATCAGTCTACAGTCTACAATAATGACGTTTCTACAGTCTACGATAACTGCCCTTCTGATTGGCCGAGACGGTTACTGAGGTCAGAGGTCAACTCGTGCACTGATTTTTACACAGCGCTTTCGTGTGCGAGCGTCTGCTGCGTGTATGGCATGCATGCATGCCACGTACGTACGTACGTGTAGATGCAAATACGTGTACATGTACATGGCGTGTTAGGCCTGTCACGTACAGCCAAAATGTAAGGGTCAGATAAAAAAAAAAGTTGCTTTCAAGTCGGCTTCGGGAGTGTTCTTTCAGTGAAAAATGAACCGCAAATAGGTGAGTAAAGTTTAGTAGATACTGTTACATTTCCTTTCATTTTATTTCATTGCAAAAATTACCGATGCAACGCTAAAACTTTCAGCCAAGGTCCCAACACGCTCCGAGGATATGATTTTGCCTGCGGAAATCGAGCCACGACCGCTTTCCCCCCCCAGAAAAAAAAAGAAAAAAAAAATGAAATCGACGACTTTGGTGCCAAAATGTACCCAATTTCTCTAATAATTAATACCGAGGTTAAAAAAAGGATTTTCAATTTCTGATTGGGGCTTTTGCGGTTGGATTATTATTATTATTATCATGAGAGGCGGCGATTTCCGACAATAATTTCGGATCTTAGGACTGATGTTGGGCATGTTGGGAGAGGGGCTGACCAGGGCCCAGAAGTCCAGTCTTCTACCCTTGTGACCTCAAAAAACTTCACATTATGTGGGAACTCGAATAAAATAGCCTCTGTGGGGATCAACTAACCAAAAATTTAACCATGGTAAACTCAGCGGGATCTTCAAAGGGAACTTTTGAGGAAATTGGCCTAGAGAGCCTGTACCAAATATTAGATTTCAAACCAACCATGTTTAATACTAGGCTGAACAAAAAAATTTATACCCTAGGCATATTTAATAAAACTAGTATAAAGACTAAAAAAAATAGGGTTACTAGTCCTTCATTATCTTAACTAAAGCCAGGACTGTACTGAAAGTAATAAAAGTTAGATCAAACCATGATCAAACCAAAGTAGAAACTAAACATCAAACCAGAAATTTAAATCCAACATAAAATGATTTCAAAACCCTAATGACGAACCATGGTGAGAACAAATTCAATGTAAAAGTAAACCACATGGCCCACTTTTGACACATGTAATGTCAACATATGCAAAATGAGAAAATGAAAAATAACCTCCAAAAACTTCAATGAAGTCAAGAAGTAAGGCAAAGTCTGTCAAGGCTTAAGAAACTCGATGACAACAATACTGAACAATTTTTTTTAGAACTTGAAAAGAGACTTACCCCAAAACCCCGACCTCTTCATTAAAAGGTGGATAAAATCCACCATTATCTGGAAGTAAAATGAATAGCATCTTCAGCAAAATAATTTAGGGGGAAAAAACAAAGTAAATATGCAAACAGTCTATCAAAACTTCACAACTGAAAGTTCTCAAACTTTCTCAAACTTTAACCTGAATCAAAGCCAACAGAAATCCACACATCGAAACTAAAATAAAATGATTTTCTTTTAACTAGGGGGCACTACTCCAAACAGTGTCAACAATATTTGCTTTATACAATTAATTCAGTACAAGGTGATTATAAAAGTTTGAGAAGTTCCTTTTTGGTTAATATGGTGTTTTTTTTTATAAAAATGACTTGGGCAACCTTGAACAGTCTCTTTTTATTACATTGAGAATTTAGTTTTCAATAAAACAGAAACTTCTGTAAAATGTCATTGGAGATTTTTAAGAAACTATTTGAAAAGTACAGTGAGTACTAGTACACAGATTCCATAGCTACAAATGGGGTCAAGTTCTTTGTACACACATACTGTACTGCTTAATCCCATTGGACCTCAAAAGTATGCCCATGGTTTCCTCTAGGGTGTCTGAGAAACTCTTGATTCAGGGAACAAAGAACAAAGAGACAAAAGAAGCAAACAACACAAATTGACAAAATATGATATTAATACATGTTTTTAAGATGATTCTAAACACAAAAGATGATTTTTATTCTTCAATAGGAACAGGGCCATAACAAACTTATAAAAAAGTTCCTGGGAAGGGGGGGGGGTTAACATGTTTTCTAAAAAGGGAGGGGGATATTTGCAAACTGTTCTTTAAGGGGGAGGTAAAATACAATCTGTTCTTTAAAAGCGGGGGGGGGGGGGGGGGGGGGTTGTGAAATTGCAATCTGTTCTTTAAGGGGGGGGGGGGGGGAATCAATCAAAATTCTTTTTTGGATCCTTCCTGGTAAACATGTACTTGTACAATGATGGTATTTGTTGGTAAACCACTTATAAATATTATGTTATCCAATGTCTTATTTGCAGACCAACACCATGGCATCAGGAAATCCCGACAAGCTCTTGCCCAAGTTTCGAATCAATGACTCTTCAGTCAGGCCAGATCGACAGCAGTGCGTGCTCAAGTGTACAAGAGCTGCAGTTGAGTACCAGAGAAAGAAGAGAGACCCCACCCCTAGTGCTGCTGATAGCATTCTTTGGGATGAGAGAACGGCACTAGTAGGAGCAAGGCGCCGAGCGAATGCACGAGGTGTGCCAAATCCAACCGAGCAACAATATCTTGGGCAGTTGGTCATTACCTTTGGAAAATACACCCACTGCACATTCCAGTGGCTGTTGGAGAATGATGTAGGCTATGTTAAATAGTGAGTACGCTCTTCCTTTCTTTTGCCTTGAGGTGAAAAAAATCTCATCATGTCACACATAAAGTCCCTCTCTTTTGGATGGCAGATAATTTTAGATATAAAGTTGTTCAAGATGCATTATTCTTGCTAATTTCAAGTTTCACAATTGAGAATTGATTTGTTTGTAAGTAAATATATGCAATTTGTTTGTTGAGTGATGAAATAGTCACCAAAGTTTAGTTGAGGAATGATGTCTTCACGAAAATTAAGTTATTGGCTGCCAAACAATAATTGGGTTCTTGCAGGATGGGTTCATTTGAGGGCAAAATGATACAGTTCAGGCTTTAAAGGGCAGATGTCCATAATTGGATTTAAGTTGCTTCGTTTGTAATGCACAAATTAAAAGTCCGTTTTTGAATAGCATGGCATTTGCACAGTGTGTGAAATGGTAAAAAATCAACTTTGAAGGCTTCACCCAAACTCCATATAAGAAATGATAAATATAAATAAAACGAGTACATATGGAGGAGTTCAGCTTTTTAACTGTTAAGTATTGAACACAATAAAAAAAAATGCAATTTATGAAAATGAGGAAAGAAACTTGACATTAAAGCAACTTCCATAAATTAGTTTCATTTCAGATTGATCCCTGATATTGGCATTGCATTGGCTGTGGTTTGGAATCAATTAAGGTTCATATAACTTTCATTTGTTTTTATAATTTTCTTTCAGCTTGGTGGACAAACATATTAAGGAGACACACAATCGGGCCAGAGAAGTACCGATTCGGGATGGATGGGTGAAAGATCTTCTTTGGAGATATGCCGAATCCTTCCGCCAGGTGTCAACGCATTTGGAAAAAAACATAGACGAGTGCGTGTATCCAGTGCCAGCATTTCGCAGCCGCACATTCTCTGAGATGTGGGACATGTACAATATGTACAGAACCGTCTACCAAAACGACCCACAAGCTGCCTCCCAAGACACTGTACAACTTTGTAAAAAGGCGTACTGCTCGGTGAGATACTGGCTGGAGATATCGGTGAAAGCAATTTCAAGTCAGCAACTGAAGCGGTTTCGCCAGTACATATCTGATAAGGATGCCAAGGTGAGTTTTGGTCTATATCAGGCATGGAACTTTTCCTCAGATCAGCTGAATTCCTCTTTAACTAAACCAATATATTTTAATAAACAGTGGAAACTGTCTTGGACAGATATCAATTAATTCACTCCCTTTTGTCAGAATTCCCAGTTGCATGCCTGCCCTATAAAAAAAAAAAGAATTAAGTAAGGTCATGCAACAGAAATTCAAACATTCCTCTTCCTCCTTTATTCTAGGTATTTTTAAAATGATTAAAAAAGATCCAAATACTGCCTGGAATTAACTCGGAAAAGGTGCTTAGTTTGCCCCTTCATCTGTTCAACAAGAATCACACTGTAATACTAAACATATCTTGATTGAAAATGTCAAATGTAATGGTGCTGGTGCTGACCATTTTTTTTCTGTTTTGTGTCAAAATTTAACATAAAACCTTTCCATTTTCAAGGTCACAACTGCAACTCCAAATACCAAAGATGAATGCAGTACATCATCCATCCCCTTAAAGAAGCGGAAGATGGCTTCTGAATCGGAAAGCAGCCCATCCCCAGTGGCATCCACATCCCGTGCTCCCCAGATGGCATCCAGCCCCCGCCCATCCCCAGTGGCATCCACATCTCGCGCTCTCCCGATGGCATCCAGCCCCCGCCCATCCCCAGTGGCATCCACATCTCGCGCTCTCCCGATGGCATCCAGCCCCCGCCCATCAGCAGTGGCATCCACATCTCGTGCTCCCCCGATGGCATCCAGCCCCCGCCCATCAACAGTGGCATCCACATCTCGCGCTCTCCCGATGGCATCCAGCCCCCGCCCATCAACAGTGGCATCCACATCTCGTGCTCCCCCGATGGCATCCAGCCACCGCTCATCCCCAGTAGCATCACCCGAGGTACAAGAAATTCAAGTTCAAGCATCAGAGATCTCCTATGAAGGCTGGTGCAAATCATGGGAGATTGATGGTTCGGGAGGTATCCCAGCTACTGATCGTAAGTGGCTGAAGTGTGATTCGGAGCGGGGGATGTTTGGGCCCATTCAGGTCTACAAAGATGTTAAGGGGGAGTACAGGCGACGCCACGTCCTGAAGAGCGACAGAATGTGGTTCCATCCCCCAGAATGCCCGGGACTTGCACAGGGTTCCATACCTGCACCAGAGCATTTTTTCCACGCACGGGTTTTTTTCTGGCGCCCCCTTGGTGTCTGGCAGTACAGTATCCGGTGTCCACGTCTTAACTGTCCTGGCCGCGAAGACAGCAACATCTTCCTCTATCGGTCTGGATATCACTCAAAGGTCAGGCAAATCTGCGACATTTCTGGGTGGTATTCCATGTTGACCGAAGTCCTCAGCTGTGGGCCATGCAACAAGGCAGCAAGCAAAAGTGGAGATAAAAGGGTAAAATGGGGGAGATTCTTGGCATGGGACATGGACATCATCAAGCAGTTGAGTGAAGCTCATCAGGCATTTTTTCCAGCAGTTCTAACAGCTCGGTAAGTACAGATGGTTTTCGTGCATTTTTATTGATATTTATTCAAGAACAACAAATATGATAAACCAACATTATCGTATGAAAATCGGACTCTTCTTCCTTTTTATTGGTTAAACCCTCTCACGTGACCGGTCCCTCTCCTAATTATCTGTGCATGAGCATGCGCAATACCACCAATGAGTCCGTATTTCATAAAACCTAAATTCATGCTACACCGGCAAGCTCTGTGGTCCAGTGGTAAAACATCTGCACTAGAACAGCAGGAAGCTGTGAGTTCGAGTCCCACCATAGAGATTTTCTGAGACTTGGAGGCAGTGGGGGGTGTCAACAGCGTTTATTTACCCGTGAAGGGCAAAACCTTTTATGGTCTCATAAAAAAATGTCTCGTTACGTTTCTGAAAAGCAGAGCCATGGATAGCTGGGAATTCAATTTCAATGTAATGTGACCCATATACAATTCTTCAATATTCGTAATTGTAAAGATTGTCAGGGCTCTTCTGATCTAACAACAGCAAGTATAGTGATTTGGGAATTCATTTTTGGTGTGTTTCATCCGTGTTCTCGGGAGTACAATTTCTGATTGTGGTACAATTTCTGATTGTGGGGACTGCGTTCACGCTATCCCCTTACATATCCCCGCATTGGTCACCTGTTCCGCCCACGTTTCTGTTTGATGATTATTTTTATCGCATTTATTGTTTTTCAGACGTGGTGTAGATAAAAATGTAGTTCAGCTCCTCCGAGACCGAACAGAAGGGAACACGATGTCCAAAGTTTGGAGGCAAATACAGGAGAACCACTGTGAGGACTACCTAAACAGGAAGGATATGTACACCACCCTTCTCTACACCCTGGCCAAACCTGGAGGGATAGTCTCTGCTTTGGGTCACCAGTTCAAACGACCACCCGAGAGACATGAGCTTCCTTCACCTCGCCTACTGCGACATGCATTTCTGCTCGAAGAGGCTAACCACGTGCAAGACTATCGCACTCAGGTTCTGTCCATCTTCGGCAGAGTTTTGAAGTTTGACTCTACAAAAAAGGTAGTCTATAAATTGTATTCCTGATGACAACTTTTTTCCTGCAGAAATTTATCATCTCTGATCCTGCATTCTGATCTCTTCAATTATAGGGATTTTTTTGGGAAAGGATGACCAAAGTTGTGTTGAAACACATTAAAACAAAGTTAGGTTACATGCCACTGTACCACAGTGTGGATTTACCTGTTACGTAAACGATTACGTGACATTAGAATTCACTTGACAAACACTTTGATGCAGTTTAAATGGGAATGTCAGTCATGCAACTTTTCCTCGAATCTGCTGATATCCTCATCATTTTCAGTCAGTTCTCATAAATGCCATTACAAATTGCGTAAATTCAAATTTCCTTGTTTTATCTTTTAATTCCAAGTTGCTTGCCAGGAATTTATGACAATAACAAACAATTTGGTGTGTGTTTTGTTCAGTATCTTTTTTGGGGGGGGGGGGGGCTTACGGATTTCTTTTTTATGTATGTGTATTTATAGTATGCCTGTTTTCTTCTTTTTCGTCAGATCTGCAAAAAGTTGTCTGGAGCAAGTCGTGGCACAGCTGAATGGTTCACCAGTGTTGGCAATGAAAAGAACCAGATTGTCACCTTTGTGCTGACATGCGAGGAGTCAACAGACAAGCTGACACCTATGGCAGAGGGACTCATGACCAGGTATGAGAAAGCTGGCCAACCACCTCCAGAAGTCATGTACGTTGACCGTGGTTGCTGTAGGGGTCATGGTGCAACAGCTGTGGAGACGCTCTTCCATACTTGGGTAGATTCCGGGATGGTTATCCGGCTTGATGCTTGGCACTGGATGCATCGGTTTCATTGTGCTGTTCGCACGGACAGTCACCCTAAGTATGCTCTCTTCAAGTCTGCCCTGTCAGGTGCAGTGTTTGCATACAACCGTCAAGACCTTGACCTGCTCATCCAGGCAGTTCGTGATGGCTCCCCAGCAAAGTACAGTTCCCTGTCAGATGAAGAAGTAGTGCACTTCCACATTACGCATGACGTCATGAAGCACTACGTGAGAAGGATCACTCTTGGTGTTCAAGAAGGTTTCAGGCGTGTCAGCGACACTATTGAGGCATTGAAGGGAGATGCTGGCCTGGATGAGAATGGCATCTCACTGTTCAAATCTCCTGAGGCCATAGATGAGGTGTGGGCTGCCCAGCAGAAACATCTTGAATGTTTACAAGATCCGCCTGAGATGAGTATGTACAGTGTGGCAAAACTCGCCGTCAAGAATGGTGTTCAGCTACCATACTATGCCTGTGTACGTGGTAACAACAGCCTTGAGGGATTTCACGTTCATCTGCCTAAAATGATACCAGGTATGTTGAGATAAACCGACAGACTGGCTTGTCATTTGTATATATTTGTTTGTTTATTTTCTTTGCCACCAAGTGCCACATGCTTTCAAGGGATTATCTTTCCCCCCTGTTTGGCTCCGTTTGGCTGCAGTTGTAACTTAAAAACTTGATTTATTTGGGCTCGAATTGGTTTTATTGCAACGACTGGAGTGTCAACTACCAATTCCAGAAATCGTGAACTTACTTTTGGGAAATTCATAACGTATGGCTAATCAAGACAAGTTATAAATTTCTCTAATTTCTGATCATCTACATGTACAGCTTTATCCAGTGTTGTGTTCTAACCAAACTTCATTTCAAAACTGTGTTATTCAGGTCCTCACTGTGACCCAAGACCATTTCAGGTCTATCTCCTGAGTGGCATCGCTCGATGGAATGCTGACCGTGAGGCCAGTGCAGTATTCGGCAGAAAGGGGCGCAAGCACAGGATCTACTCTGGCCCACTGATCAATCGTCTGAACACCCGATGCAGAGCGCTCTTCGGTGAAGAAGAGATTGAGGAAGAAAACTTCAGGATACCGGCAGAATCAAATGATGAACTTCTTGGGCTTGAGTACCTGTTTATGCAGAGCACAGGCAGCACAGATGAGATGCACATCACCTCCTCTACAGCTCTGCGAGACGAGGGCCCCACTGAGGAAGAAGAGGTGATGACCAACGAGGAGAGTGACGAGGGTCTCGATGATGGTTACAACAGTGAGGCTGACCTTACTCAAGGTACTGCTGTCACCCCTGTCCACATGGTAGTGACAACTAATGAGACGGCTGAAGCTCTGGATCCTGCCTGTGTGAGTTTTTGTCAGTAGTAATAATTTATGTTAAGGATTTAGGATGTTTACTTTTGTAGACTGAAAAGTATGGAACAAAAAATGGTGACTGACCGACTGGTGACTGACCTTGTTTGAGAGAATTTTGCCCTCTAATTTGAAACGTCACAATGAAATATCACACATGAAGTGTACAGTTAAATTTCAAACTGGTCAGTTAACAAATCTATTCAAAAGTGAATCAGTAGGTTGGCAGGTTTTGCGTTGCTCGGAGGTTTGCAAAGTGAATCAATTTCAAATGTGAAAATCAAACATTATTTTGCAATACAGAACACCACTTTAATGAACCCAATGAGGCTCTTAAATGGTGGTTGTTATATTGATCGTTTGCTATAGCGATTGTGCTTTATTTATAAAAATGCCCTTTTTAGACAAAATGTCATTTCAGCGCCATTCGATTGCATCAGCTAGGATTCCGGCAGTCATTACTGAGTTTTGTTGCAAGTTAATTCACTAAATTTTACTTTTTTTCACCACTCTTTCATTGCAGGAAGATGTTTGTGGCATGAATCCACTCCCGGGGTTTGCAAAAGTGGAAAAACTCAGTCAGCTACTGACAAACATCGCCACCGATGAGGGCAAGCTTGCCCTGTCTGCTGAGACAAGACGCTTGGTGATCGAGGCATGGAATCAGCTGGACGAACATGACAAGAGTCCCCAGAAGTTCCAGTCCCGCTATAAGACTCATTGGGGGAACACATTGTATGGTCGGACAAAAGGGGATCCAGAGGATGCAGCCATAACACAGCGGGTCAAATTTCGAAATCGTTACACCCCAGCACAGGTAATTGATGTAAAACGAAATAGGCTTATGTACTGCGTTGTGAAGCACATTTGGCTGCGTGCCGGTGGCGTCGCATCGCCTGAGAAGTGTAAGATCACTAAGCTGTACGAACGCATGCAGCAAAGGGTTATGGTAGAAGATCCCATCTTAAGCAAGCTGGGTATCCCCCTCCCCAAAGTTAACACAAAATGTGTCCGGGAGTTCCTTCGCCGACAAGAGGCACTTGCCAGCACAAACGCAACAAGCCATGGGAACACCATAATCCGGCGTTGGCAAAGTGTATCTGGTGCAAAACTACCCGATGCTCCAGAGATGCCCCAGAAGAGAGGTCAAACCGACTGGCCAGAGACGACATACGCAGACATACCCAGCATGGCTGGAACGAAGGTGGTGAAAGCGAGACATGATGTTGTAGAAATTTTGTCTACTCCCTTACCCTCTCTGGGCATTTCCAGCAGTCCCGTTTCTGGCGCCGCAGGGTCTCACTTCATGACTGGCTCTTTGCCGCCACAGTTTTCCTCCCATGGTCCCTCTCCTGTTGCCCCAAGAGCACTATTCACTACAACAGGCACTTCCCCTCCAAGAGTTGTCACCTCAGCTGGTCCCTCATCTGGTGCTGCAGGGTCTGACCTCTCGCTAGGTGCCAGACCATTGTCGTCGGTTTATACTGGACGCTCTCCTGGTGCCTCAAGAGCACAGTTCAATTTGGCAGGAACCTTGACTCGTCCCGCAACTTGTTCTTCGCCATTTGTCTCCTCGGCTGGTCGGCACTCTGGTGTCTTAGTGTCTGACTCCTCGACTACTTCTTCAAAGTTGTCGTTGCCATCCGTTGCTGCTGGACCTTCTTCTGGTTTGTCAACTGACCCCTCAACCAGTTCCTCCCAAGTTGTTGCCTCCGCTGATTCCTCTCCTACCTGGGCACGATCAACAACCTACTCCAGGGCTCAGAAGGAAAGGAGATCAAACAAATTGATGCCTAAAAAAACAAGAAAGGAAAGTAATCCTACTTGCATTCTTTGTGGCAAGCCAATGCAAGGCCACAAGAAATACAGAAAGAAGTCATTTTGTGAAGACACAAAGCGATCTACCTCAGCAGGATTCCAGAACAGAGAATTTATTCACTTTGAGCACTTTAAGATTGTTGTTGATGAAATGTTGGGATAAGTTCTTCGTCATGTACTTGCGAACCATTTTTTCACACATCTGACCCAAAGTGACTTGTAGTTTTCGCAAGATTACTTGGGTATATCCTTTTACAGTTGTTAACCCTAAAAGGGCCGGGGGGGGGGGGGGGGGAGTATCCCCCCCCCTCGACTTTTTCCGCGATAGCCTTTAAAAAAAGTTTTTTCGCAACCCGAGCTGTTGTGACTTTTTAGCCTCAAGCCTTGCGCATCTTTTGACACCAAAATATAAAAATTGAACCGGGGGTTGTCACGCAGTGAAAAATGTTTACCATATACGTCGTATATACAGACCAGAATTTCCATTCGTACATATGAATAATTAATTAGCCACAAATTCCAAAACAATTTGACCTGTAGTCATGAAATGTCTTGGGTATGTTCATGAAGAGTTGCTCTATGCATGTACTGAGTTTCAAAATATTTAGTCACTCGATGGCTGAGATCTTCGCAACAAGCCATGGGAACACCATAATCCGGCGTTGGCAAAGTGTATCTGATGTACAACTACCCGATGCTCCAGAGATGCCCCAGAAGAGAGGTCAAACCGACTGGCCAGAGACGACATACGCAGAGATACCCAGCATGGCTGGAACGAAGGTGTTGAAAGCGAGACATGATGTTGCAGAAATTTTGTCTACTCTCTTACCCTCTCTGGGCATTTCCAGCAGTCCCGTTTCTTGTCTCTTGTGTGCCTCGAGCCAATGCTTGCGCGCACTGAATAACAAAACAAACTACTAATTTAAATTTTCCTAAGGTGCGTCTTAAGAAAGGCCTTCTTTCGGTGATTAATTCAAAATTACAGCTTGCCAGAAAGAATAATTTCTTAGGGAGTTTCGCCCCCTTAATATCTTTCAACCAAGTATGTTTTTCAACAAAAATTACACCAGTTATTTTTCGAACGGCTGCAAATGATGGACTCTGGCTTTAAATGTTCATAACTGACCTCTTGACTGATCAGCTCTTTCATCGACTGTTTCAGATAAATCATAATCTCTTCGTTTTATCAATGTTCATATGACAGGTCCCCCCCCCCCAAAAAAAATAACAATTCCGGAACTACATAGCAAAAGGTTACATGTGCAAGTGAAGTCGGGCATGTAACCTAGTTTCAGTGTCCTTACATCATTTTGATGTAAGTCATGTCATATGCTACAGTAACAATTATTAAACAAAATATTTCCAGCACATTTCGCTTACTCAAATTAAAGAGGTTTAAACAAAACAGAAACCAAACAATCTATTCAATAACATTTTTTGTATACTGACATTTTTGTGCCTTAACAAAGAACAAAAGCTCATGATAGCACTCGCATTTGCATGTAAAAACAAGATGCCATAAGGACTCTCATAATTTTAACCCCCCTCCTCTAATACCTTTTTTTCACATGCTCTGTATTTCTTTGGAACTCCTTGCCTAGTGCATGTTTCCTTCCACTGGTAGCCTGTTTTAAGAGGAATATATCTCTAACGTGCCTGATTGTTTTTCGTCGTTTTTTCCAGATGTTATTTCCTTTGTTGTTCGTCATGGTGGCCCATTACTTGGATCGTTTTCGAAAACAAAATTAAACAAAATTTGTCTGACAAACAGGAACTCCCGGACACATTTTAAGCAAAAACAACTTCTACACCCTGGACTAAAGTACAGTAGATGCATGCGTTTACTTAATTTAATTGGTTTTTGGAGGGGTGAAACATTTATTTTTGTCTTTTTTGTCTTCTATATTAGCAGGATATGCTTCACAACACAGTACATGGGCCTATATTATTTCAAATAAAAGAACTGTGCTGGGGTAACTTCTTTTTGTTGTCTTTGAGTGTATTATATCACCTCATTTAACCTGTGGCCTTTCGGCTGAACAGAATTTGTGATCTCTGTCATGTACCGATGCGATCAAGCTACATGAGTCGTTTGTCGACCCCGGTCATATTGTTTTTGTTACAAATTTGAAAACAGCACAAGATCAGCATTAGTGCTGTGAAAACTGCATGCTGATACCATCTTTAATTCAAAAAGTATGGAAGTCAGAACATCAAGAGATGTGGTTAAATGATGTAATGAAGTGGCCCTATTTTGGCCTGTATCTACAAATGAAAAGTCCTGACAAACGACTCATGTAGCTTAATCGCATCACATATATATATTGACATGGGTCTTTACTAAAAACCTCTAATTGTTGATCATACTCAAGATGTGTGTAAAGATCATGAACAAAAAATGAACAAAAAACCTAGCACGTACACACATGCTATTGTAATTGTAAAGTTGCGAGACAATTTAGCAGATTATCCTTGAAAGTGGCAAATACTGATTGTAAAACACTCCCACATGTAGCCCATAATCTCAAAAGCTGCAGGAAAATTTTAAGTGAAGGGCTCTGTACGAAAGTTTGACTGGAGTGCCACGCAGTTGCAGCTGGCTTGTGTAAAAGTTAAGTAATTTTCAATATCCAAAAATTTGGTCAAATGCAGTTGACAGTTTCCGGTAATCAAATACTAATTATTTAAAGATAAATAGCCATTTTTGAAGGGGGGGGGGGGGGTTGGAAAAACTTGTTAGTCTTTGGGAACTTCGGGGTCCCTATTGTACTCTCCCTTCATGATTAAATTGAAGACTATTCTAGAACTTGGAGTTTTTCAATGCAGTGTTTAAAAACACACACTTATTGGTCAGAGAAGTGCTACTTGTGTACATGAAGTATGGAAGAACCATGTATCTAGATTATCTTAACGCTTGATGTTTTTATTCATATTGAAAGGAAACTATTGACAGGCTGTGAAGAAACACTTTGTTCACACATGACACTGAATAAACCGTGAAATTGTAAAGTTGCGGTGCTTTGACAATTTAGCAGATTATCCTTGAAAGTGGCAAATACTGATTGTAAAACACTCCCACATGTAGCACATAATCTCAAAAGCTGCAGGCAAATTTTAGGTGAAGGGCTCTGTACGAAAGTTTGACTGGAGTGCCACGCAGTTGCAGCTGGCTGGTGTAAAAGTTAAGTAATTTTCTATATCCAAAAATTTGGTCAAATGCAGTTGACAGTTTCCGGTAATCAAATACTAATTAGTTAAAGATAGATAGCCTTTTTAGAGGGGGGGGGGGGGGGGGTTGAAATAACTTTTTAGTCTTTGGGAACTTCGGGGTCCCTATTGTACTCTCCCTCTATGATTAAATTGAAGACTATTCCAGAACTTGGAGTTTTTCAATGCAGTGTTTAAAAACACACACTTATTGGTCAGAGAAGTGGTACTTGTGTACATGAAGTATGGTAGAACCCTGTATCTAGATTATCTTAACGCTTGATGTCTTTATTCATATTGAAAAGGAACTATTTACAGGCTGTGGAGAAACACCTATTGAAGTGTTTAGTTGTGTAACTATAAGCGTTCTTGTAACGTTAGCATGCACAGATAATCTTGTAGGAAGCAATTTAGTTCAATTTGTTTTGATTTCATTGTAATACTAATAGTGGCTCTAAAACACTGCTTTTTTAAAGTTAAGTAAACTTTGAGTAGCTTATAGCTAGAAGTGTGCACAGGGTCCAGTCACTGAATTTCTACAAAAAGAACATCATTTATAAAATTTTTATTAGTGTTGTGTACTTTGCTTTTTAACAGTGTTGTTGCACTAAACCTGTACAAGGGCGGATCCAGGGATTTTCGGGGGGGGGGGGGGGGGGGTGTGGGGGTGGGTGTCATAGGCAAAAAAAATCTGAAATGTAAACACATTTTTCTCCAGACACTTGGCCTCCGTTAAATCCAAAAAGGGGGGGGGGGGGGGGGGGGGGGGGGGGGGGGGGGGGGGGGGGGGGGGGGGGGCTGTTACCATAGGGGACTCAGTAAAAAAAAGAGACTATTTTTAACACAATATCACAGAATATTAAACTCATAACCAAGATGGCTCTGTGAGTATTTTGTACAAGGCTGACTTTATTGCTAGGAATCACTTTTCCAGTATCGGAGCAGGGGGGGGGGGGGGGGGTAAGTTTTTTCCCTTGAATTTCTATGGGAAAATGTAATTTTGGGCAAACCTGGTTGATTTTTTTTACCACAACACCCCCTCTGGATCCGCACATGCTGCATAATACAATTTCCATCTGGATACTGAATGATTTTTATATTATTTCAACTTGTTGGTCTAGAAGTAATAACAAGTATGATGTGTTGCTATTATGTTTTTACAGGACATGCAATAAATGTATATACACAAAGTTACATATTGAGTTATGACCATTTATTTCTGTTTTAGGTAATTAGTTACTTCTTCCCCAACATAATTCAGTCAGGACTCAGCCATGTAAGCTTCAATAAAATCAACAAACTAAAGCAAAAATGCATTGCATGGAATTCAGAATATTTTTTCGCAAAGATAGAAAATCCATATTTTGTTTCATTTCAGTAAACAAATCAAGTGATGCAGTTATAATTTAAATTCATTAAAACCCCTAGGGGTGTGCAAAAGTGTAATAGATCAAATATTGTTACACTAACTTGTTTGAAGTTTTGTGTTCGAAAATGCTGGAAAAACCAAGAAAAATTAAAATGTTTAAGAAGTCTGGTTCCCTGACTCCGCTCAAGATGAAATAGATCAATATTTATAGATGCCGGTTTTTCCAACGGTGGTCGGCCGACCACCGTTGGAAATTTATACACAAATACTATTTTCTCGAAAATTACTTCACATCAGGTGCCATAATTTTACAGGATGGTTTCCACCGTCATTTATCAAAAGTATTTCATAAATCTTGGTAATTTTATTTTTTGATGTTTGCAAATGTTGTATATTCCCTTTAAGAAAAAACTTTAAACAGCTTTTAACAGTAATTATGTTGCCTTATCTCCATAACAAACATTTTTCCAACAAAGCAAGGACACATGTCTTTTATGAATGTACAGGGCCCATACAGTGCTTGCATGCAGCACACAACTGTCTCCGTACAGTGCCCGTACAGGAAATGCATATTTATGAGAGAGTGTGGGTTACTTAAATATGCAATGAGATGCAAACATAATCGAGTGACGTCACAGGGTTTCATCCAATGGACGCTAGGGAAAAATGCACGAACGTGTGGTCGAACGCCGATCGCAAGGGTCAACCCGCCGAAGTGCAATGGCAAGGCCTCGCCTTGGGAGAACCGCCTACTTGATCACGGTGTCTCCTGAGCCAGGTAAGTATGCTATTGATTAATTTCCTTTGGGTTGTCTTCAACACCATGTATTGCTGCAATCACAGTATCCTTTAAACGGCGAAACGAGCACGGGAAGTGCTGTTTTGACCACCACGTTGCGCGTGCGTGTTAACTTTGATATGTAAATCTTTATGTAAATATATGTTAATAAACGACAGACTGTGTGCGTTGCAAGTACGGCTGGGCGTACGACCGTACGTCGGGTGTGCACTGCCAACGTAGTTAGCGATACGGTTGATGATCACAGTTAAAGCCTATAAGGTCTTTCCATTGCATACTTGTACTTATGCACATAATAATATGTACAATGTAAATACAACGAAATTGAACTCGTATTCCACGACGCGGGTTGCCATACAGTCGCGAAGTCACAGAGTTACATTAAATTAAACCCTAATCCCTGTGTACAACTCTAATCATTACCCTCGTTCAAAGAAAAAAACACGCTTGTGTCATAAACAAATATACTATACATGTACATGTATCAAATTTGAACAGTTTACCCACCTGCCCGCGCCGTGGGTACGGTCGGGCCCCGGCAAATAAACGTTCACTATTTTTTAGCACTGACATCAAGCCACATACAGAATTGAGTAAACGTGGCGCCTGGATCAGATTGAAAAGATCAACCTCCTGATAATAACTACATGTACAATCTACTTAGTTTAAAATGTATCGTTTCTGTACTAACGGAGGGAATTTTCAGTGCAAACCTTTCGTCACTATACCAGATCAGGTCATTGATATACTGTGATCTGTATGGTCAAAGTAATAAACCTTGTGGTGTGTTCGCACTGTTTTCAGGTCCACAATAAAACTGACAACATTGTATCTGAAATACTGAAAACCACCATCAAGCACTTATCTCTCAGACCACAACATTTCTCACATGCAAATTTTCGCTATTGAACAAATCACCACCGACTCCACCCAACTTTGCAAACTCTCAGAAATAACTCTACCTCCATATGGATGCGCTAACTCAACACAACAGAACCAGCTGGGATGAACATCAAACAATAACACACTTAACCCTACCCAGCTCCCCGCTTGACACCTAGGGTTGTGACAATGTGAGCCTCCCTGTGTGCCCTTTCTCTGTGGTTCAATAGTCCTTTGTCATCTTCCTTTCCACTCTAGTTACTCGGTTCTTGGTTGGTTCTTCTTCTTAATACTCCGCGTGGAAGTTTATACAGGAGGCCAGAAAGTACACCGGGCAAAGCGCTAACCCCTTCTCTTAGGGTTCTTTTAGTGCATTGCATTACACGGGACCTCCGGCTTTACGTCCCATCGGAAGGTCCCATCCGATGGTTACTTGTCTTGCTTTAAGGACACAAAACCCGCTGGGCTCGAACCCAACCAACTGTTGCCTCTAATAAAACACCAGAGCATGAGTCCGGTGCTCTTAACCGCTAGGCCATGACACTCCGTATTAAACTGCCTTGTCTCCTACTCTCCGCTTGCAACGGACATGACTTTCAATTACTTCCACTTGTCAACACAACACACACCCACCACTCGTTTACCGTTCCTTCACATGCCCCTTTTCTAAATTCGTAATCCCTTTTGGCTGCATTCAATCACAACAATTATCCCCCTTGTTTAAGATCTGTTATTGACGTTTAAGTTCATTTTGTTTAAGTTCTGTCACACTGATGTTTGGTTGTTTTGTGACTTATATAGATTCCTGAAGAGCAGTTTCGGAGCAGTTTCACTACCTCGAAACGTAGATTAAACCCACATCTCCAGCCAGCAATGCATTGTTTATGTGTCATCCTCTCTTTCTTGCTAAAAGACTTATTACATTACATCTGTATGTACTCAAAGATAGCAGAGCAACATTTCCCAACCACCTGGCCTAAGTTAATCATGTGGCTCCATGTAAAAAGGTGTTGGCTGTGAGCAAGCTTTATGGAACGGTTTTGGAACCTATTTATCATCAATGATAGACCAAAAGGTCTACTGGAACACAGTTTACGGAACTGGGCTTAAAATTCCGGGTTTTTTAAAAGAATTGATTCTGATTCCGAACAGAAGTCATGATTCCATTGCATCGAATCCATTTTTTCCCCGTAAAATTAACTTAAAAAGGCTGTTAGAAAAAACCTCTAAAATTTCACAAATGAATACTGAATCGCTATATTAAGAGTGCCATTTAAAGGAGGTAATCGTTTGAAAAATGACAATTTGCCGACATTACGGACATGTTGAGCGACATAATATTGTTTTAAAGTGGCTTGAACTATTCATGAGAAAATGGGAATTGTTCCTAAAAACTTTGGCATCGATTGTATTCGATTCCAACCAGAAATTGCCCAAGCTTATCCATTACATAATTTGCTTGCTTGAATTCTACATACATGTGGGAATTGTCTATACATTTTTTTAAAAACTTTTCTTTGTTTTGAGATGTTTAACCTTTGATGCATTATGTGGATTTCATTTGACCCAGACCTTCAGTTTGACCCAAATTATCCGCGTAAAGGCAACTCAGATTTAACGGTAAACCCATTTTTGTCTGTCTTATTATTTGGCCCTTAGTATTTTCGCCTTTAACATGTCATTTAACTTTTGAAAAGTCAATCACACAACTCAACGTTCATGCATTGTTGAGTCAACTCTTAAAATCTTCAGCCAGACTAGTGCATAAATCGAAATTGGATGGATTCTGTTTCGATTTTTGGTCACTTTCTGACACATATTTCTGTCAAATAAAAGATGACCATAAGTTCAATGACATAAAGTCAAATATGGACAAAATGAATACCTGATATTTTTGGAATTCTCTGTCAATTTAGATTTTGACAAAGCAGGCATATGTGACCCGCTCTGCAAAAAAATGAGTCTGATGTCGCATAATTTGAATTCAAGCTTTTGCCATTTTGAAATGGAAACCGAAAATGTGATCAAAATTTGGGTTTTTGTTTTTTGTTAAATTTTGGCCGTTTGATAGTTTTAGTAAATGTCCTACAAAGAAATTTAAATATTTTACGAAAAAGACTAACAAAACGAGGAATTTTTGGTGTCTTCCTGGTTAGTTACAGTATATGTGTCATTTTTCAAACCCTTTTTCTCCATTGAGACGTTTCTAGCTTTGTAAAAATTGGAAATAATGAAACAAGCACAGCAATACAATAAATATCCTAGAGATGTCCATGATACACCAAATGAAAGCTTAATTTCATTCCCATTTCATTAATGTAGATCACTCAAAACAGGAGTTTTGCAACAACAGACACATTTTTACAGAGCAGGTCACATATTCATGTAGGAGTACAAAATAATGCAGATATTGTGCTATAGACCATGTCAACGGGAGGCCACGCCAACAGGCAACTGGCATTTTTGTCATGTTTGTTCATGTATGCCCAACTCAAACGATAATGTAAACACATCTAAACATTATTTCAAGAGATATACATGTTGTGTAGAAAAGATGATGTTATTTACATTATCTTTTTTGTAGGTTTGTTTTCTCAATTCTGGTTTTATTTATTTATTTGAATCTGAGTGTTTAATGTTGATGTGTTTTTCTTTTTCATTTGACTTTGTGTTGTAATTCATGCTGTCAAACATGTCTGACACGGTCTATTGCTTCAATCTTCAACACAATAAATATAATCATACCAAAGAGGAAGACTCCAACGGATTTAGGGTGGGATGAAGATACCACGCCCCCAATCATACCTTCTTTGTCATCATCCGTGCATTCTCCTTACACTACTCACAACGATCTTCTGTTTTTTCTTCATCACTTGCATCAACTTTGGGCATCTTCTCAGCTTCCGTCTTGTTCCCCGTCTCCTTCTTTTTTGATAGTCTGGGCCTGAATGTTAGTCAGCTCCTCCTTGGCCTTCTGGGAGACTTTTCTAGCTGCACCTAGCTGGGCCTGAACCAGTTGGAGATGTTGACCAGCAGTCAAGGCTGAAAGCTCAGCATCTTAAATGTGGAGAGGCAAAAACAAAAAAAATGGTGTCAGCTTATGACAATTTTTGATCTTTGTATAGTACATTACTCTAATATATCTCTACATGTACATGTACATATATTTGCTAAAGATCATTATTCTCAAACTTTGCATAATTTTTTTTCACAAAATCATAATTAAGTGACATTCTGTGACCGAGACAAATAATACTGCCAATTAAGTCATGCTCTTACAACCACCCAACCAACAAGCATAAGGCCAAAAAAAGTCTTCAGTTTCTGGTATGGAGCTTGCCCCAAAAGTGGTGCGGCGACGCTGCTTTTTTTTTTAATACTTTTTTTTCCTCTTCAAATTTCGCCTGATGACTGCAAATGGTGTCGATTAAATTAAGTGCAAAATGTATGGGTGCCCAGAGAGGCCACCTAAAGCTTATACTCGATCGTAACCCCATCTGAAAACAAGTTAAAATTGTGCAGCAGCAGGATTCCAGTCAAACCAGTGAGTCTAGCAGTTTTGAGACATCATCTTACATTGAGAGAAAAAAAAGTTTTAATTTTGCCGACGCGCATGGCTACGGCGACGCACACGCAGACCAGAAACTGGAGCCTTTTTGGAACATTTTCTAAAGCATATAAGTGACTGAATATTTATGAGGACATAGTAACGATCGGAAAAATTTTTGCTGCACGGCAACCCCTGGTCCAAATTTTATGTTTTTGGTATCCAAAGATGCACAAGGCTCGAGGCTAAAAAGTCAAAACAGCTCGGGTCGCGAAAAAAAAAATTCAAGGCTAACACAGACAAAGTTGGGGGGGGGGGGAGAGCGGATTGTGCCACCCCCCCCCCCCCCCGCCCTTTTAGGGTTAAGTATTTGCAAGCTTTGAGGTTGCAGTGAAGACCATTTTTCGGACACCGAGTTCATGTTACCCATTGAAAATGTTAGTACCCATTTAACATTAACACTTTACTTGAAAAGTATGAAACTTCAATCATATCATACTCAGGTTTCAGGTTCAGGTTTCAGGTTTATTTATTTCCGCAGTATTAATCCAACAAAAGTTAATACTGTCCAGTTACCTGCTTGATATGCTGCTTCAGCTGCACGTTCAACAACCAAGATAGCTGATGTTAACATCACGTTTGCATCCTGTTAGCCAAATAACAACAAAGTTTTTGACGTGGTTTTTCTTCAGCTTGGAAATTTTCTTCAACCCTAAACCACACCAAATCCATCAAAATCCATTTCCCCTTGGGGGATTTTGGTAGGAAAGCCATCTGCACCAAGTCCAGCAAAATCCAGTGGTGCTGTCACTGTTGTGGTGGATTTCAGCGGATTTGGTCCTTATGCATTCTTTGAAGCAGGGTCAGTGATGGATTATGGTGAAATTGGTCCAGTACTTAGAAACAGACACCAGTGAGTTAGGGTTAAAAAACCACCTGGCTACCATCAAAAATGTAATACCACTCGTGACTGGTTATCAGTTACTGAGATTTGCCTAAAGAGTGTAAAAAAGAAAAGAAAAAAGAAAACAAAATTTCATTGTTTTTGTACAGCTATACACAGTGGCGTACGTAGCCAGTAATTTTTCAGTGGGGGGGGGGGGGGGGGGGGGGGGCGCTGGAACATTTCATGGGGGGCATCATGTAAATCAATGATAATTTTTTTAGAAACTCAAAATCTCAGTGGGGGGGGGGGGGGGGGCAACTGGGGGGCCGACTGGGTTTCATGGCCCCCCCCCCCCCCCCCCCCCCCCCCCCCCCCCCCCCCCCCAGGCTATACATGTACCTCAATTGCTCGTATGTTATCCTCAATTTCTACCCGTTGGCGGATGATGTCCTGCCACAGGTCATCCTCCTGTGATGGTGGACCAACAAACTGGGCATGCTCCTCTAGAAGCAGTCTCAATATATTCACCATCTGAAACAAGATGTGACATGGTTTATACAACAATCAACAAAATCACAGACCAAGAAAGAATGCTCCAAATCAACACAATAATTTTGTGAGCTCGTACATGTACTTGGAAAGCATTGATCACAGTAAAACATGTGACTGAGAACCTCTGCTTCTGTTTAGATAATTAAATTAAATATGATAAATGGTCGGTTAATGACAGACTCCAATCAGATTTAACTTTTAAACCAAAAGGAAAAGTTGTGAACAGAAAATAAATTCAATATCCAGATCATCAGGCCAAGGCTAAAACTATAAACAGAGAAGTCTAGTCTACCTATAGTCAACATAGTACTTAGTAGGATTGACTAAAGCCAAATGTATATGTAAAAGGCAAACTACAATCTGACAAAGAATATGTTGACAAGTTTAAATAATCTACTCAAAATGGTGTTGTGGTGAAGGACTCTGATCAGTAATAAAGAAATGGGGGGGGGGGGGGAGTAATCATGGGCGTCGCCAGGATTGTTTCTAGAGGGGGGCAAAAACATATTTTTCCCAAAAAATTCTTGTATTTCTGAACGAATTCTCGATTTCTCAGTTTTAGACGGGGGCAGAGACATTTTGCCCCCCCCCCCCCAACTCATTAAATTTACACCACTATGACTTCGCGCCTCTTTTTCTTTTCTGTTTTTTCTCTCTTTTTTCTTTTTTTTTTTTCTTCCCCCCTTTTCCGGGGGGGGGGGGGGGGGGGGCAAGCGCCCCCCTTGCCCCCCCCCCCTCGCTACGCCCATGGGAGTAATGATTTTACAGGTTATCTAAACCAGGCCTCTTGGCACGAACAATGATAAGCAGCCCTGCAACAATTATCCTGTTATCAGATAAGTTGGTCATAGCACATTTTGTACACTGGTCAGAAAAACAATGAGTTTTTTTTGGGGGGGGGGGAGTGGGGGTGGAAGAAGAGGGGCCAGGGGAAAATGTGGCTGTAATTAAGCTACTTAAATATAATGTCGTGATGGCTGGCCAGAGTGTTCATGAATTGGGGAACGCAAAAACTTATTTGACTTTCAATTCATTGAGGCCAGAAGCAAATTAAGGAAAAGTTTTCATTGAAAAAAAAAACAATAGAAGTAGGGGGGAGAAACACTAGCCAATTTAAACTTGATGGCAACGGCTAAAATTCCTGGTTGTAACAAACATTTCACATTTAAAGAAACTCAAGCACAATATTGCATTTAAGGCATTCTTAAAAGGATCCCTTAAAGGCTGGTATACTCGGCACGAAAGTGAACTGACTCAAGGTTTGATCCGAAAAAAAAAAAACCGCTCTTTTTAATTATCTGGTTCAACTTGATTGTATTCTTATGGGTGGATCCTTTGCTGTATGTATTGGCCCTATACATGGAAAGCATCGCTGGATAGGTCAGGGACCTCGTAACAGCTCTACTAGCGAATTTCCCATGTTATGAGCCTAGAGCTCGGTAGATATGGAATGCTGAAATGTTATTTGGCTACACAGTTTAATCAATGAAAACATGACAAAAACTCACCAACTTACTCTACTAGACTACAGATCCTAGGAAGACATGCTACACTGTATCATGGAGCTACCGGTATAATGACTGTATTCAGTTCATGCAGTTAAGAAGAGAGCAATCAGACACACATGCACTTTGCTCAGTTCTCATGCTCAATGACAGGGTCAAACAGTATACAGCCTCCATGGTTGGCAATAGCGTTCAAAGATCAAATTACATGTTCTAGGAAGTGGAACTGCAATTACTTTACCAGGGGAGACAAAAGGTAAAGAAAAAAAACAAATTGTGTTCACAATAAAATAAGCCCTAAAAATTATCCAGATAAGTTTGTCTGCGTTGTGCTACTGAAGTTGCATGAGATAGGTGGGATGCTGTCGTATAGGTAGGATGCTGTCAAATAACATCCAGGGCTCGGCATGGGTATCATTATGGGACTTTTGCTGGTAACCTAGGCCTGTTTATGCTAAGAAATTATTTTCCGATATTCTGAGCAAATTTCTGTGCAGGTTGCTATTTTTTTCTTATTTAACTGGGTAGCCCTTGAAGTGAAATCTAGTGGTTTCCCATGGTTCCCAGTAAGAGAAGGCAATGTGAAGAAAATACAGTTTTAGAGGTGGGAGGAAAACCCTAGCAGAATATTCTGAGGAAAATTCACGGAATCAAGTAGGGACTGAATAGAAAACCCATTCCACATATTTATTTATTTATTACATTTATTTACCCAGGGTATGCCCAATCGGATAAAAACTGGTTTCCACTGGGGCCCTGCACACTATACAAATTATTAAATAAACTAAAGTTAAAGTCATAAGGAAAAGTGCATTGGTGAAACATACAACGAACATTAATATTTTATACAAGTATCTCAGAAATATTGAAGGAATAAAGCTATACACACATTTTAAATATTCCACTAGTGTAAGGCATGCATTACTGATCACAGGATGGGCGAAAATCCAGGCAGGAATCGAACCCCGGTCACAGCAGTGGAAGGCAAGGAAAGTACCGCTACGCCAACCTGACTTCCTGTGACATTTGGCCCAGGACTGAAATGGAAAGCTTACCTCGGAATATTCCTTATGTAGTGATATAGCAGCTAGCGCGGCATGCGTGAGTAGTATACAGGACGAGTCCACAGCTATAGCGGCAGCATTCTTGATAAGTTCACGATGAGTCAAGGATCCTGCATTACTCTGTGGATTGAATTATATGTAAAAAAGAAATTACAAGAATTCAATGCTAGGCTATGCGATCAAGTCAAACTAACGTCTTACTTCAAATAACCAAACAAATGCTATACAGCACAAGTGTTAGTAAAACAGAAGGAATGGAAAATATTAAAATTAGAAATATAAAAAATGGAAACATAGTGAATTACAAAAAAAAGAGAAAAAGCCAGGGGCTGCTGTGAGATGTGTTACCAAGATATTAAAAAAAAAAATCGACTGCATGGGCGTATCTCATCAATAGTTTTTTACATGATCAGCCCCTGCCCTGTGGCTCATCTCGACTGATCGGTTGGCGTGGGTGGCTCAATGTCCGATAGCTGGATTTGGAGACTGATGATGATGATGATAGGCCTCAGATCTCATCAATAGTTTTCAACATCATCAGAAATGAATAAGCCTCTGTACTGATGACGTCGCACTTTGTTTCCATGTGCACTTTCCTATGGAGCCAGTGGGGGCCCACAGTCCTCTGAGCACCATAGGAAAGCACACACGTAAACAAAGTGCCAGTACAGAGGCTTATTGGCATTGCCAAGCTCACCTTCGCAAGCGAGAAAGAGGTCATGGGTTCGAGTCCCATCCAAGTAAGCCAATCATTTTCTTTGCATAAATTCTCAGGAAGCATCGAGTATTCACAGTAAAATTGTGTTCGAAAGAGCAGAAGCTGATATTAAAAATGGCATAAGGTAGAAAGAGTAAGTCGAAATGCTTATCATATTAAAGTCATATTAATTGAATTTTGAATCCTCCATACCTGAAGTGATGCCGATGTGCTTTGCGCGGACGGTTTTTCATTGCTGCCAACTGGTACACACGGCATGGCAGACAGTAACACACCCCCTCCACTGAGACCACAGAGTCCTACAAACCAGGATCGGTATAGAGGGCGTGTAAGGATCCTCAATGACCATAAGCCTCGGTTCGGGGAGAGCTGGACTGGCCGATGTCGGTTCAACACTGACTGAAATAGCCACCTCCATCTGCATGAACAATAAGAAAAATGACTAGGTAAGACGTAAGAGTGGGTGAAGAAATGCCGCTCAGGTTGGATTAATCCAAGTTAAAATAACTACCTTATGAGCCGGGTCTGAATCTCTTTGTTTCAAGCCCGTACTGTCTCGGTCTTCAACCCATTACAACTATGTGGGATTGTTACATCCCAATTCACACTAGAAGTCTCGCTTGACAATTGCGTCTTATCTTTTAACTGTATAATTGACAATGCAGACATGAAACTGGATGGCAGTGGAACCACAAACATGTGAAAGAGAATTCTCTTTCTGTTTGAAAGGTATTTGCAAAGATTCTAAAAACCAAGGAAGAAAACTGTGGTATTGAAATTTCATACCGAGTTCACCGGTGTTTCGGTATTCATGAATCATTAGTCGGTATTGATCGGTATTAAAAAAAATGTGACTATCCAGTAATACCGAAGTACCGTCCAAGCCTAGTTCAAGTGTGACTTCATTTCGATCAGAAATGTGGAATAAAGCTATTGATTGGTAAATTTGGATGCCACGTTTTTGTAATACAACCAAAGACCCGATATTAGAAGGCACCTGCTAAATGGTTGGGGGCCGTCCCAACCAAAGTTGTGGCCTTGCTACAATCCCGGCCAAAATGGTTGGGACACTTGGAAATAACCTTAGCCTCCAACGGTCACCAACTCCCCCGGCCAACGTTGTTCTCTTCAGCGGATGGAGCACACACCGCGCAATGAGAGACAACATTGAGCGGGGGCTAGGGGGGTTGGGGGCCCAGCGAGATTTGGCCAGGAACAAAACAGGTTCAGGCTTATGTAAGCATTTGCAGCAGCTTGTACTTTTTTCTTTCTTTTTTATTTATTCTGCAGGCACAAACCTAACCTGCAAACGATAACTAACGTGGCCCAAGCAATATCTGAAAGGCCCCCCCCCCCCCAAAAAAAACCCACACTTTTTGTCATTTGTGGAAACAGACAATATGCCACGTTTAGCCCCCAAAATGTGGGGCCACATTACTATAGCCAGACTGGCTCTGTATCCTGGCCACTTTGCCACTTGTGGTGGAAAACTGGATGCTCTTTTACTGTTTAGGCTTAAAATTTTGACCGTTTTAAAACTTTTTGGGGGCTTGGAAGCATGGATGTTTATTTCGGCTTTTTCCAGATACCTAGTTTTGTGGTTTCCGGCGGAAGTTTTCAGACAAAGTTCTCAAAATTACATAGAAACTTGACATCTTGGAATGCCGAACTTAATCATGTTAATCTTCTTACAAGTTACACAGGTCTCCAAACCAACAATAAATTTAAGCTTAGTGATTTCAAAGCCGAATATATTAATTTTCCACGTTTGACCTGTTCCCAGTGGCAGCGAGGCCCAGGATATTGATGCCGAGGCAGTGTATTTTTACCACTATTTATAAGGCTAGCTACTTGTGCTACTAGTTCTACAACTATATGGGCCACCTATGGGTCCCTTCTTACAGTACGTTGTTCTAGAATACTTGTGCAAGACCCAAATGTCCAAGTTACATCACGTTCCAGTTAACCCCACAAATTTGGCTCGAATTCTGGACTTCCTCCGTATTGCAAACCACAAGACACTATTTTTTCACTTGATATTCACCATGGAAGATACTTACTTAGTTATAGCCAGGAAACATTGAATTTTCTGTTTCTGTAGGCTGTTCCTGTAATTTTCAGGCAAAATTTGCTGCGAGTTTGTCAAAAAAAAGAAGCAGTAATTTTTTTTTGTCACAGTCATCCACACGACCTTTTGATTTTCCCTAGTAATCTTTCGTGGTGAATATTAAGTGAAAAAAAAAACAGTCCAGATTTTTCCTCAAAGTCAAGTTTACCCAACACAACTGAGTTAAATATAGTCCCACTATTAAACTGGGGCGCTGCAATCCTTTTTTGAAATTTGGGATGATGTTTTTTTGTACTACTAGTACTACTACTACTAGTCCGACTGACCAACATCCCAAATGTCAAAAATGGGATGTTTATCCATGGAGAAATAAAATGGTTTATCATACGACCGTGTTTTATTTCTCCATGCGTAGACCAACATCCCAAATGTCAAAAATGGGATGTTGGTTTGTCGTACTAGTACGACAGACCAACATCCCAAATGTAAAAAAAAAAGAGTTCTAGCGCCCCAGTTAGTGGGACTAATTAGTTAAATATAATTTTATGACCATCACTAGACCCGTGAACGTGTATATACAACGCCACGTTATCACGGGTCTAAACCATCACCAGCTCTAGAGGCGTACCTTTCACAAAATTGTAACTGTTTTGAACAACGCCAAACCATTCCTTTAGATAACTTCGAACGACACAGAGACAACAGAGGTTCCATTATCAAATAATAAAGTAAAATATGTCCCTTTCTAGGCCTACTTAAAAGGAGAATTCCCCTTTTAGAAATGATCTAATGCCCCGCCAAATAAAGTTGAGTCATACATGTCATAAACTAATACACGTGTATAAAAAAACACAACGTTGGTGGCGCTGTGTTTAACCTTTGCCATAGAAAACATGTAGATGGTGTAAATGATGTCAGCATTCGGTAAGATAATGAAAGACGCCGTACCAAGTATATGATCAAATCTTAGCAACCTGGAATTTACCGTTTTCGAGTGAACTACGTGAGGAAAAATTGGGTGAGATTTATAGATTAGTTCTGGATTTTTCAGCCTTATTTCATGTATTTTAGTGTTCTAGTAGTTTGTGCACATATTGTAATTCTGTTTCAATAAAAATTGTAACGTTGATTTGCAGCCATATTGTTGGAAAACCCTGGTCACTGCTGGTAAGTTCGTAATCGTATGATTTGGCAAGGACATTGCAATGGTTTTACACAGTCATGACAGTCGTTTTCATAGTTCCGGATAGCGAACATGACATCAATCAGTCAATGATTGATTCATTATTCGGGCTAGCTTGAGTAACTCCAGCTCTAATGCTCAGCAGAAATCGACATATATTGATTACTGCTGGAGTAGTAATCAGTAATGTTGTAGATATTTTTTACTAATTAATACTAATACTACAGTCGTTTTCCTAGTTCCGGATAGCAAACATCATTCAGGCTGCTTTCGGCTCAACTACTCCACGAATTCAAGTGACATTGGTTTAAAAGTTTACCTTGAGTGATGGAGATACTACAAAATAATTTTCAAAATTTAAGCTTTTTTTATTGTGACTTTACGACGTCAAAAGTACCGATGCCGCTTTTCCTAGTTCCGGATCGGTTCAATCAGTTCCGAATCGATCAAAAACTGATTCGCGCGAAAAAAAAATGACGCGGGAAAATCAAGTTTTCAGCCAGAACCACCCCAAATCAAGCACATTTTCTGATAAAGTATTAGCCTATTTAATTTTCCAAAAATAGTTAATTCAAGAGCATTCCAGCAAATTTTCAAAAGAGAATTAACGTAAATAATGTTGAAACTTTTGTCTGCAGCGCAACGGCACGAACTCACGCACGGACCGAAAACCTTGCACACGGCACAGAATACGTCACACAAAATCGATTAACGCGCGTGTAGTTGGGTCATAAGTGTACACGCGATCTGGAACTAGGCAAAAGCTAGCCCGACTGCGTCTGGCCGTACAGTACTATCGCAAGCTCTGTAGTACGGCCAGACGCCCGATGCTTCCACAGAGACTGAATTTTGTTGGCCGCCGATGTAGCGATTTTGCTACATCTTTCGATCGCGATTATCTTTTCATCCAGGACACATATTTCCAAAGTTAAGGTTCGTAGTCGTAGAGCAACTCATACCTTTTCGAAAAAACGTTGTTTGGTCTCAATATTTTCATCCATCTGGCCACAAAACGAATTTCAGTCATCAGATTCCACAAATATCGTCCCCCATGCGATCCCCCATGCGATTTCAAAATGGCGGCCGCGCTGTAATGTATGCAATATGCAGGCGCGCCCGCGCAAACTAATGAATATGCATAACAGTCTGTGACGTATGACCTCGTGTTTTTGGACGTGCGTGCGGCGGGGCCGTACGTACAAAAACACGAGGTCATACGTCACAGACTGTTATGCATATTCACGAGTTTGCGCGGGCGCGCCTGCATATTGCATACATTACAGCGCGGCCGCCATTTTAAAATCGCATGGGGGATCGCATGGGGGACGATATTTGTGGAATCTGATGACTGAAATTCGTTTTGTGGCCAGATGGATGAAAATATTGAGACCAAACAACGTTTTTTCGAAAAGGTATGAGTTGCTCTACGACTACGAACCTTAACTTTGGAAATATGTGTCCTGGATGAAAAGATAATCGCGATCGAAAGATGTAGCAAAATCGCTACATCGGCGGCCAACAAAATTCAGTCTCTGTGGAAGCATCGGGCGTCTGGCCGTACTACAGAGCTTGCGATAGTACTGTACGGCCAGACGCAGTCGGGCTAGGCAAAAGCATACGGTCATTCGTTGGCAAATTTTCAAATGTTAGAGACGCTACAACTTATTTTGATTGAACAAACATTCGATGGAAGATTGTAGTGAATGAAAAAAATATTCGAAACCACACGGTACGAGAGATATACTGAGGAGAAAATTTATCGTCGATTCGCAGCTGCCGTGATTTTCTTTAAACCGTCCAAACATGTCAAAGTGTGAGTCTGAAATCTGGCCAAAATTCTTTTTCTAAGGATTTTATCGAAAACGATCTTTGGGTATCAAGAAACTTACATATTCCTTTTCAAAATGCACTCCATCAGAATTTGTTTTATCGGAGACTAATCCAAAAGAGGTAGGTTTTTATTTGAAGCGATCCGGAACTAGGAAAAATCCGGAACTAGGAAAACGACTGTAACTTGACTGAGTAACTCCAGCTTAACAAAAATTAGTAGGACATCCAACAACTGTCGGGTCAGTATAGCTATTACTCAGTATTAGTACATTCTGCATGTACACAGTACAGTCCATTGGCCATGACCCGACGGCTGTAGTGTTAGATGTCCTACTCAGCATGAATAATCAAGGATTAATCTGATTGGCTGATCGGCTCAAGCACGCAATAACCACACCACAGCCGGCCATGACAGTGCAGCACTCGACGATTTTTCTGAAGCAGAGCCACTGAAATCATCATTATTTTTCATCTTTTAGTAACTTTTGTTCTGTTTGAATTCGATAATTAGCATTGTGAATGACTGAGTGCATGTTGCTGACTGTATGTTTAATGGAATCTGGGTTGGGATAGAGGGAAAAAGGACCATTTTGTGGAGCCTGGAGGGAAAAACGGACCATTTCGTGGAGGCTGTTTTTTAAGGGTCTCTTACGATCTCACTTTTACAACGTACATCTGTCTCCAGCGTTACATGTGAATTCCTGATGAGCTTGTTAAGCTGGAGTTACTGAAGCTAATTTTTTACTAGATTCCAAAAGTCCCTAAAAAACGGGACTCTTTGTATCGTCAGGCCCCTAAATTTAGCTATGTGCCTAGCCCAGGTTGGACCACGTCTTCATTGCATTACGACTGACGTCCAGGGTATTAATTCTTCTACCATAGTCCATAGCGAAAAAAATTCTAAAACATTTTTTCATATTTTTACCTGACCTGATGGTGGAAACTGAAATTTGGTTTACATATTCCTTGTGTCCAGAAATAAACCGCAGATCCATGTTTTCGTTAAAAACATTTTCAGCACTAACTATGGGATAAAAAATTCTTTGTACATAAAAAATATTCAGATTTTTGATATTAAAAAAGTAATCAACTTTTTGTTTTTCAGAATTAGAAGGGACCCCAGGTGCCTTACTAGATGTACTTTTCAGTATACCAAAAGAAAAGGGTACTTGTTTGCAAAAAAAGGGCTAAACGGCACTTGTTTACAAAAGAGGGGCGCCCTTTACAAATATTGCAGGGGGTGTGGGCTTAATTGGTGGTGAAAAAGGGCATTGATGGAAAAGGGCAGTCTTTACAAAATATTGGGGGGGGGGGAGATATCCCCCTTACCACCCCCACCACCCCCCCCCCCCCCCCCCCCTCTTTGCTTTTATCGCTTTGGTGATGTGGACAACAAGAAGGAAAGCCGTTCGCCATATTTGCTCTCGGGTGAATATCTCTGTCAATGACAGTGGCATGTCTGTGCCTTTATCATGATTTATGCAAAATCACTGAAGCGACACGACAAGTACAATAGTGCCTATACATGTAATTTACTGCATCAAATGCAAAATGTATGGCGTTTGACCATATTGTCAACCATGGTAGTTGGTACTACTTAATATATACAACAAATATTCATGAATTAAATTAAAGGTTGAAAAGTACAGTAGGCCCTAAAACAAAGAAAGCACTCAAACAGTTATGCAGCAATGCCTAACAGTTGGGACCAAAATGTTTGTTATCGACAACAGTTTTGTCGGTAGATATAGTGAAGTCCAATACTTCTGAACTAAGAAGATTACATTTATACAAACCATGCATGGACCACGTTTTTGTTACCCATAAGTGTCACATGAGGTGAGAAAAATCATGTCATACAATAGAAGAGATTTTTAATGTATTTTTGGTTTCTTTGCTTTCCAGGAGAAAATCGTTAAGGATCTTCAGGAATTTGTTTTATTGTGCAGAAAACTAGCAGATAACCAAGATGGATGCTCTCTTTGGGAAGCGCAAGATTAAAATGTCAGCTCTGACTGACTTTTCACAATTGTAAGTCCATGCGTTCAGAATTGCAAATTGACATGTATTCCCAAGTGCAAAACTCAGGCCATAACTCCACAACTTCGAGACATTTTTCACCAATCTTGCACTTGCACAAACTTTCCAAGTTGATATTGTCTTAGTACATGTGTAATTGCAGACTATGTACGTGTAACTGTATTGTAATAAGTGTATTGTATTAGGTGTATTGTAATAAGTGTAATTAGTGGTGAAATGATTTGGTAGTTGGTAAAATAACACATATAACATTAAAGTTCAAGCATTATCATTGATAATTACATGTAACATGCAAGCTGTTATCTGCAAGGTAAGTTTGCCGAGACACCATGTGAAATTAATCTCTTTTGTGAGTGTGTGATATGATGGCTTTGAGAAAAAAAGGTTTTTAACTGAACGTTTCGGACAGCATACTCCGTCGTCAGGAAACTGAGTTAAAAACCGGTTCTTCTAAGAACCGTCATATACTCACAAAAGAGATTTATCTCACAAGGTGTCTCCGCCAACTTACCTTGCTGTTATCCTGACCATGCAAACTTACCGTTCGCTCTGTTATCTATCCTCAACGTTATTCCGATACTATTCCATTTGATTTTGCCTGACTAAAATGGCTGCCCACCACTTTTAACAATATTCCTGTAAATGTACCCTTAGGGTGACACTTTATCATCAAAAGTTACATCTTAGGAAGACAGGGTAGATTAGAGATACATTTCAATGTCTCCCTAACATTTGAAGTCCTATTTCTAGGCCTAATTTTGCTGTCAAACATAAGCTTAACCAATTCCTGGTGATTCATAACTCAAATTTACAAAGTTTGGCGAGGGTAAGGTAAGGTAAGGGCTAGGGGTCAATAACCCCAACTCCTTAGCATGATTTTCTAGGAACCATACCCATCCCGACAAATTCCAACACCATGGAAACTGCACATACATGTACATATTTCTGACTTTGATTCTGGAGGTGTGCCAACCCAATGTAAAAGACTGTCAGTTTAGGGGTACTGTACCCATCCTGACAGATAAAAAAAAAATGCCGTTGGGGTTTGATGAGTTAAGTTCTGGTAGGGTTAAAGTTAGGATTTTTTTGTGCACAAGTCTGTGGGAATGTCTCCCTGTACCATTTCCTGTACTCATTATTTCCCTTCTTATTAACTCCCACAGGAACAAGTCCACACGCTCACATCTGAAGAATGTCTACAGCTGTCTGGCCATCGCCATGCTGGCTGCAGCAGCAGGAGCCTATGTACATCTCTTTACTGGAATCTTACAGGTAGTCAATCCCCATCCAAACAATAGGTCTGAGACCTAATGATGCACGCTGTGTTTACATGTGCGCTTTCCTATGTGGAAGACGGTCCCTACTTTGTCTGGCATCCCGACTTTGCTCCCATAGGAAATGAGTCGTTTGTCAGGAATTTTTATTTGGATATATATGGGTCCACTTCATAACATCACTTCATCACATTGCTTGGCGTTCTGACTTCCATAATTTTTTAACTAAAGATGGCATCAGCATGCGGTTTTTACATCAGTAAGGCTGAGATTTTGTTCTTTTCAAATCTGTAATAAAATTTTTGTGACCAGGGTCGACAAACGAAACATTTAGCTTGATCGCATCACATATGTACACAAAGCCATTATGTCATTAGGTCTTAGCTCTCAGCTCTATTGTTAATAAATTCTATAAAGTTTGTGCACATCCGCAACTGAAGTGCAGCTAAAAAGAATAGCCGCAAGTGCTTGTAATAATAATTTGGGCCCAATTTCATGGCACTGCTGTTTTTACTAACTGAGCAACTGAAAACAGTAATCAGCATGCTTACTTCAGGGAGAGAATTTTCCCAGTTTACAAAAGTGTTGCACAACTTGTCTTTGCTGTTGTCTTGCCGATGCCAATATTAGCTGACTCTAGCAACCAAAATAATTGGAAGACCTTATTGAGATGTTACGATATCAGACAGAATGCTTGGTTATAATGATTGATGGGTAATTTAGCAAGCTGCCAACCACCCTCAACTCCATGGGTTAAGTGCACGTTCCTTCTAGTTCTGGCCATACTATTCAGAATGTACTGCGTGTGTACTTCAAAGGCTGCACGCACTATTTGCACTCGCATAATTTCCTGCACATCGCGTCAAGTACAGACTTTTTTTTCAGGACTGCGCAATGCCTCTACAATATGGAAACTCCGAAAGGCTCGTTTTTTTGGCAAAAAAATACGTGTATTTTTTATGTTGTAAAAGGGAAGACAGAGGTATAGTACGAACATTATAAATTCTAGCAACGCAACGTATAAATCTCAATTCTGAAAGGCTTAAGGCTACAAATTAAGGCACCGTGGGTAACAACATGGCACAGCAAGGTCATCCCCATGGGTAACTCGGAAGGAATTTGCAGATACACCATGTTAAGTGACTACATCAATAATGTCAAGAAAGGCCGGAAGTGTTTAAATCTATGCTTCAGTCAGTATGGTATAATTATCGTAAGCAGTGTGTTCTCAAACTTCTCTTAAGTTATTCTCTCCAATCGCATCGAATTGCATCGGTGTAAAAGTTCAATGAGGTTTTTTTTTAAAAATGTTATTAGGCGGGTTTCCTGACATCAATTGCGGGCTTGGGACTCCTGATTTGGCTGGCTCTCACCAAAGATGACGGCACCAATCAAGGGAAACGCCTTGGACTCCTGTCAGGATTCGCCTTCTTCACAGGTTGGCTTCTTGTGTTTTATTTATGACTGAGTTATTGATCAAGTTATTCACATGTCAAGTTCGTTAATCACGGGTCGATCAAAGATTATGCACCAGTCAGGATGAACAATGAAAAACGGATTGTTATTTTCACATAAAAAATAGATTATCAATTAACTTGAGACACTGATTTGTGATTGACTTATAATTGACCTGTGGCGACTTTTGATTGACGTGTGATGACATGAAACAACTCTAAGGGGAATCGGTAATATTGGTGATTGTTTGTACAGTGACAGTTTGATGATGTGCACGCTCATGTTCAAACATAAAAATTAAGTTTATTGATTGGTGCAGCATCAGTTGTCGACTCACACAAGCACAGAAGTGACATTGCAGTCATGACAGCTTTTAATAGGATTTCTTTGAATTCTTTCATCCCCCCTTCAATTTCAGCATATTAAACTTTGGGGGGGGGGGTGTCTGCAGGACACATTTTCATATTTTTTTCCTGATGGTCAAATATCATGCCTGCACTTATTAGTAACATTCAGATCATTTTAAAGTAAGCTTGTGTCCAAGTTACTTGGCTGTGGCTGGCAGTAATACAAAAGTCTATGGGAAATGGCTGCAGCCACTAGGTAGCGGCTTCCATAGGCGCACATGTTATTTCAAGCCGTAGCCAAGTCATTCGGCATGGCTAACCTTGATCCTGGCATGTTAGAGGATGTTAAAGGATTCGGGAAGGACGATCCAAGACACTTTTACTTTACATAGATATAGATGACACTAGGTAAACTACAGTTGATTTAAAGGATTCATCATGAAAAAAAAAGAATGCTTTTACTTGAGGTAATGAGCACATGTGGAATTGTTCTTGATTTTACATTGCACAATTGACCTAATACTGAACTATGAAAATAAAGTGCCACCATGAAAATTTCTCCATTTTTGTTTTTTAGGTCTTAGCCTGGGTCCTCTCATGCAGGTTGTGGCAAAGATCGACATCCAGTGAGTAAAATTTAAAACTTTGCTCCTCCCCCACCACCCTATCTAAGGGCGCCGGTACCTTTAATTTTGTCGCTGTCATTGGATACATAGCACTTCTGGGTGTGCATGAACAATGCCCAAGATATGCATATGTACATTATTCAGCAATTGTTTTTCCTCCAAATTTCGTAATTTTTGTTCAAAATTGTAAAATAACCTATTGGCACCATACATGTGTGTGTACTTTTCCTTTTTATCTCAAATTTTGGACAAATATGTCATAATCCACTTACCTCCATTATGGCAGGTGACCTACCCACAATACTCTGCAGAGCCTAATTTCAAGGTTTCGTGAAGGGGACGAACAAGTAAAGAAAAACATAGGGGCATGAGTCCCCTGCCTGTGTAGCCACTGATAAAAATCAAAATGAATCCGGTGCATTTCCGCAAGTGTCATCAATGTGAATCTGTTTTGTTTTCCGTGTAGCCTGGTTTTCATTTTGAAAATTGTCCACAAATAAAAATTCAAAACCTTTCTTTTTATTGTCTGAGAAGTTACAAAGTAATATAATATGTATAAGTTGGATACGGGTACTCGATTTCATAATCTGGAACCAGTTGCTGACATCTGCGGTCGGGTACTTAAGTACCTGGTTCCGATAAACAGCCATTACTCAATGTTGGCTTCTTGGGCTTGGGATTCAGACTCACTTCCTTTCATTGGGACTCAAGAGTAAAGTGCCGAATCTGCACAATTTATATATCACTTCTAAGTATGAAAGTCTTTGTTTTTATTAACACTTTACTTAAGTCTTACAACAGTCTTGTGATACAGTCATAATTGCATTTAGAGACTTTGCTGCTGGTGGACAACTGTGCACAAGTCACAATGTAGAATTTGATCAGTTTTGTTCATCAATACGTTCTTTCTTTTTTTTTTCAGGATTATCCCAACAGCTTTCTTGGGGACGTGCGTCATCTTTGGATGTTTCACATTGGCCGCTCTTTGGTCTGAACGACGTAGCTTCTTGTTCCTCGGAGGTGAGTAACATGGCCAACTTTCATGGATCTTGTGTCATAATGAAAACTCGGTGTGGTGTTCCTTACAACCTTCAGAAGCTACCTTTGTAGAGTGTTACAAAAAGTTGTAATAAAGTTCAGAGGCCAATTTTACGAAACACTAGGTAGCTAACGTCCTACGTAGGACTTCAGCAACAAATTTTGATGCGCAGTTGCTCTGTAAATGTACCAAAATAAGAGGTTTTTTTGGCTGGAAAAAACTTAACCCTAGCCGAACTCAACCCATCAAAGCTCAACAGCAGGTTTTGTTTAAATCTGTTGGGATAGGTACAGTACCCCAAAACAGATGGTCTTTTACATTGGGTTTGGCATACCTCCAGAAACTAAGTCCAACAGTGTGTGTGTGCGATTTCCCATGTGGGTGTTGGAATTTGCCAGAATGGGTACGATTCCTAGTAAATTAGGCTGGGGAGTTAGGGCTAATGTGTTACTTCTTTAAGATACTCTTTCTGAATGTGTGAGACGTGTCTTGGATCTCAATGCATGAATCAGCATTCAGCAATTTGCCACAATGTACATGTACATGTATCAATGATAACAGTGTAGCCAATGAAACTGTACCAACTGCAAGGACTGGAGACATAGAGCACAATGGTTTTAGTGAAATTCTTTAGCACTTAATCAGCATGTAATTTGTACTACTTAAAAGAATGTTTGATATAGTTTAAATGATTTTATTTTTAAAAAGTTTTCAATTGCTTTAAATCAAATGATATAAATCAAACAACCCTGTGTGAAATGTGTCATAACAGAAATGCGGCGATATGTGCAATGTTGCGTAGCTTACGCAATAAATTGTGGTGCAAGTCGAGTTTCGCCATTGCATTAAATTTCATAAAATTTGCTGCTGTTGACCCATGGCTTCATATTGTGGCTAAACTGAGAATGAAAAATACATAGCTTTCAAGATGACTACTTTGCAATTGCCATTTTCCCGTAGGCACCCTGATGTCTGGCCTGTCCATCCTGATGCTGATGTCTCTGCTAAACATCTTCATGGGATCTACTGTCATCTTCAGAGTGAGTTTACTCTCCAATTCGCTGGTTTAACACATCAGTATATCCTTTCAAAGTTGGTCATTGCACAACCATGGTTACACATGTAACACAAACCTCAAATAATAGGATGCTGTCACCCAAGGGAGAGCTCGGTGGTCGAGTGGTAAGACATCTGCACTAGAAAGCAGGAGGTCATGGGTTCGAGTCCCACCCGAGTGATTTTTTCCAACTTTCACTCGGGAGGTCACACACTGAGTATACAGTGTTTATTTGTCAGTGAAGGGCAAAAACCTAATTTGATCTAGTGTGATCTGTTGTGCACTGCAGTGCAAGCCAAGAAAACAGAAGCAGTTAATTGAGCCACTCCTATTTGCTCTGTGCTGTAAACAGATTAAACAGCTGTAAGGCTTGTTCCATTTGGAGCCTTTTGCTGACAATGTTTTGCATCCTTGCAGTACATTCCATTTTGAGGCAATGGAATCTGTACGGGAACGGTACATGGCCATGTGTGACCACTCATGACAGTTGGGGGACAGAGGACATGACGCATGCATGCACTGGTTCATATGGCGTAGAGTTCACATGTGGTGTACATGGTGTTGATCTTGCAAAACTAAGTTTCATAAGAATGTGCACCAATCTATAGCAGTGTCATAGAAAAACACTTGTTAGCATAGGTGCAATGACTCATAGCGACCGTAGCTCTCAAGTGTCCTTAATCTTCCTCACATTTTGCTGTTGAGGGGTTACTTGAGCACAGAGTCCATTGGCTCAGTGGGTATGCCAGACTGGTTCTGACTCTTTCTTCTAAACTAGATGAGCCAGCTGTTGGCTAAGTTGGGTGTGGATGCTTCCAATCATAGGCAGTAAGGTTTCTTATAGGCTACCTACTGTACTACTCCTGAAGCTGTTTACATGAGCTAACTGTTTGGTAATTCTTAAACAGGTTGAGATGTATCTGTGCCTGGCCGTCTTCATGGGATTTGTGCTGTTTGACACTCAGCTCATTGTGGAGAAGTGCAACAACGGAGACAAAGACTACATCTGGTACGTCCAACCAGAATAACCCCCAAAATTTTTAATTTCTGTCTGTAAAGAGTTCAGGAGGAGTTTGAAGGATTGGCAAATGTAAAACCCATCCACTTATACTTTCCTTGGAGCTCAAACCTCTTCAAAGTATGGTATCATTAATTTGTAGAAAAAGTCACTTTTGTAATAACTGTGTTCTTGAATTATGAAACTGTAGAACTGAATGAATAAGTAAATTAAGATTTGGAGTTCACAGCATGTTCCTTTGGTATTCTGCAAAAAGGATTTTACAAGGATTTCAGAAGATTTGAGAAGATCAAAATGAATTAAACTGCTGCAAAAGTGCTAACTGACTGTATTGGCCTGAACTATACAATTCAACAAATTAGCTGGCCTAACTTTTCAGTCTTAAGCAAGACCTTTCTGAAAAAGACAAATGATCTTTCTCAAAGGCTATGAGCCTTTAGGAAGGTCAATAGCAGAAGTGCAGCCTGGGGGTCACTTGACGTTATAATCTAATGTAAGATTGTTTTCATTGTTTGGCTTAAGGCATTGTGTTATCATTCTCAACGACGTTGAATATTATTCCTTTCTTTTTATTCCCCTTTTTTGACCTGGTATTAGGCACAGCGTGGATCTGTTTCTGGACTTCATCAATATTTTCCGCCAGCTGATGATCATCATGGCCATGAACAGCAACAACAAGGTCAGAAAATTGTTTGTACTTTGAAAGGAAGAGTGAGTGTGCAAGAAACTGATGGCAAAACAAAATGTCCAAACGTGAACTTGTATACTGACATGTAGGTTCACTTTAGTAAACTTTGCCTAACCTCAGATTTAGTTTTTATATTCACCAACCCGTTTGCTAGTCTGAGTATCACCCGTTATCCAGGGAGCCAAGTCTACTGTATAACGTCTGATATGTCTAAACGTGCAGATATATGCAAGCCGCGCGCCAGCCAATCGGAGTCAACTTTACTAAATCGTGACGTCATTTCATTCCCAAATCAGGACTAAAACTGTGATTGGTCAATTCGAATCCAGTGTTTTGTAATGCAACAACAGCCGCGCGCGTACGTGACCAAAGCCTTTGTTGCTGTGTCTAGCGGGGTTATTTTTATCTATGTCTAGAAGCGACAAAGGTGAATGACCGAAGGCCCGACATAGAAAGCACCCACTGATTGGTCAAAATCTAGAGGTCAAGATGCAGTTGTCTTGCCTAAGTAATCAATGAATCTGTTCAGATGTAATAGACCGTGGCTTTTGCCACGGTCTATTCGACTACCTGTTTGCTTTTTGCAACACTTAAAATTAGACAGCTGTGCAATCACACTCTTCTACACAATATTGCCACGAACCATATTTCACATATCCATTGTTAAAACAGAAACCACAAAAAACATAAACCAAAACTTGAAATTTGTTTTGATTTGCATTAACATTTTCGGGTCGGGTCGGTTTAGCCATCTTTTGAAAAAAACGAAATAAACCGAAACAGTTGAGAAATTCAGGTGATGCAATATTTTTGACAGTTTACCTTATTTTTTGTCGGGTCAGGTCGGGTCGGTTTGAGGGAGTTAAGATCGGTTTCGGTTCCGATTAGGTTTGTATCTCTAATTCTTTGGGTCGGGTTGGCCTTGTCGAACTGACGCGATGCACATCATTATTCGTGACAAACGATTGTGTGAAACGATCACTGTTTATTGTACAACGTTCCGTGCAATAGCCCAGGGAATGCGCATGCTTGGAGACCCCTACACACGACCTATGTGAAAATGACTTAAAAATTAATTATGATTTATTGAACTGTTTGTATTTTTTTTTCAATCACAGGACAAGCGCAAGAAGTAAAGTGCCTTAATTCATTGCTTCACAGTGGATTCGCACCTAATTTAGTTGTCATCACTTCAAAATTGGGGTAAAATCAAACAATTATTGGTAAATTGTAGTATTAAGTTAATGGTATTTGAGGTCGGTATTCAGTGATGAACACTGATATTTGATTTTGTCACATTTTCTTTACTTGCACCATCGTCTTGGTATCACTCAGTGTAAACAATTGTTAGTTTACGGAACTAATGGATTCATCTCTTGCAAGCTGGAAAATTGTTTTTTTCTCCATTTGATTATCTTACTGTTAAGATAAATTTTGCGTTCACTTTGTACAAATTTAAATGTGCTTATGCTTATAACAAGTAGGGACCAACTTTTTGGGCTCTTGCAAGATCTTTAACATTGCTTTTGGAAAAGGTCCCCCCCCCCTTTATGCAACATTTCACTTGTGTGTAAAAAAAATTCTTTCATGCTCGCACATTGAAATTTAATGTGAACAAAATACCAATGATTAAGGAAAATATTAACGTAGAGGATAACAAGTAAGATGTATTGTGCATAAATGGTATTATTTTACATTCATAAATACCTAAGATAGTTTGCCCAATCCTATTGGTCGAGAGCCTGTCACATGGGTGGTTTAAAACACAGACTGGATTTAAACACTTAATTCCTGCACCACTGCACCACATCGTGCAGTACAGGCCCCGCGAACACCAATCTCCATAAAAAGAGAGTTTTAGCACTACCCGCGTGAGGCACGTACCATAGACATGGCAAAAGGAATGGTTTACAAAACATGAGGTAAAATTGTTGAACAAAATTATTAGAAAATTGTGAATCTCTGACTTGTTTTGGTTTTTTCACCAAAAGGTATTTATGAATGGGAATAAATATATGCTTGGTTGGTTTTAAACAAGTATGTTTTAAACCGGCTAGGAGCCTGGTCGCGGATAATGGCCTGGGGCGATTACAAACGTACTTGTTTAAAACCGGTTGAGCACATATTTATTCTCTTTAGTAATCACATGTTATTATTAATAGAAATTATATAAATTAGAACAGATGGGAACAAATACTTTGTTCGGTGAAGCAAATGATAGACAAATTTATGTGTGGATTTGATTTACTTTCTATGATAAACCAGATTTGATATACTTTCTATGATAAACCAGATTTACCCTGAGATTTCAGAAAAGTTACGAATTATTTTAATCGATGTTTACTGTTGATGTTTATAATATTTGAAGTACAAGTATCTCTGGTGAAAGTACATCTATTATAGTTGGAAATATATTCAGTATGATCTCAACTAATTCAATTATTAATTAATATTGATTATATTTAGTGTGTAGCGTGATTTACTGACAATTCTTGGTGTACCGGTCTCGTTGGCTTGTAGAGTAAATGTTTAGAAGCTTTCGCAGCAGATTTTTTGCATTTTTAGATGAAAAGGCAATGGAGCTTGAAGCTATTGGAAGCAACATTGTGTGACAAATGTAACCTGATTTTTTAAGCAAAAGTTCCGACAAGATCAAACGCTTAAACAGCCCAGTAAATTCAATTACGGAATGGTTGCTGCAAATGAAATTAACAGCTGTAGACTTCAAAGTGAATCCCCACGCTCCGCAATTTTAATGAATGAAAATTATGGGTGATCAAACGTTCAAGGGCTTCAAAAAGTACTTTGGTTTTTGTGACCTTTGACTTTGGAAGAGACGATTTTTATGACTGCCATCTTGGTGGTACGGTTTTTGGTTCCACGTGGATACGAATGAGTACATGTACACCAGTTGTGCATTCATTGTTTAGTACAATAAAAAAAAAAACCTCCAAGATGGCTGCTTCGTGCAGATGGTCTATATTTCAATTTACATTGTAACTGCGAATAAAAACAATTTGAAATCAAAAAAATAAGTTACTGGCTGGACATTGAATTCTTATCATTAGCTCAAAATGATTTTGCGGTCAATGACCGCTTGAGCGACCTGGCAAGTCTAACTCTACCCACAACGCTATCACTGCTAGGACTTTGAGCGATTAGACCAATCTAGCAGCCGTGGTTTTCCAAACGTCACTTGGCAACCAATACCCCGCGCTTTTAAGTTCGCGAGTTTCGGTCGGTACCATAGAAACGACACCTTGGCGTGTACTTTTTGTGACCCAGAGGTGAGGCTTGTGAGTTGTGACAAGCCATAAAACACATTTTTCTTGATGGGGTCATGGGGAGGGGATAAAAGTTAATGTGTCAACTCGTGAAAATAATCAAGCTCGTATGATTTATTCACGACTTATGCGAGCCTTTCTAAAAGCGCTGGCTTGCTTTGTCCAAACAGGAGGAAGACGGCTCATTTCAACCTGCCTTCAGATCCCTAAGATGCAATCTTGATTACTAATTTGTTTAATTAATTTCGATAACCACACAGTAATTCCACGTTTAATAGCACCCAAGGGCAATCACGACCCACAACAGATATTGAAAATCCTCCCGAATGTTGGGGGGGGGGGGGGGGGAATTGGTCCCCCAAAAAGTGGGTCCAAAAAATTACGACGTGGGGTTCGGGGCCGGGCCCCCTCAAGTCGAGGGCCCCGAATTTTTTTTGGGATTCTAGATGCTCTGTGGTGCACAATCTGAGGCAATTTCTGACCACTTTACTAACCATTTTTTTTTAATGAAAAGATGGTGGTGTACGCGGTGCCTGCCGTTATTGCAATTTGCGACGTCATCACTTCGGAAAAACAAATTGGGGGGGGGGGGGGCGCATGGCCCCGTCCCCCCGAATCCGCTCTTGCATAGGGCCACCAGTCGTATTTCCAGGGGAGCGTTTACGGCCCAACACGGCAGCAGACCAATAAAGCGAGGGCAAAACTTGGTAGGCCTACGTGATGCATAAACCATGGACGGTCACGCAGTAAATGAGTAAACTTTCGGGTCAGCTCTTATCTTTGGAGCCTTTTTTCGTGGACCGTCAGTGCGGGTCTGTACTTCGATCCCGGAGCAGACAGAAGGCTATAGCCCACCCACGCTGGATTCTGTGCTATAGTTCCACACCTTTTAGACTCAACTTCTGAAATATGGAGGCGAAAAGGTGGCTTCTTTTGCTTCTGTTCGTCGGATTGGCGTCGGCAGATCACAGCTCAGAGGAGCAAGGTATTTATTTGCGGTGGGCATTTGTTGGGTGAATTGTTCATTTCAGAACTTCCAAGGCCTTTTTGCTAAATACATTCTGGGTAGAAAACAAGCTAACAAATTGTGTTTTTCGATCACAATAACGCATGGACTCAAGGCGAAGAATGTACCAAGTTTACTCGTGTATTCTTTTCTAAATCCTGCCCGTGGAATCTACAAGTACCTATATTTAATATGGTCCGTGTATTTAGTGCACCTCGACTGAGTGAAGTGACGAGGCAGAATGGAGTGGGGAACATAGTCTCCAAAGTGGTATGTGCGTTCATAGAAGGTAAAGGTAAAGATCCCATAGCCATTACTGGCCGTAGGGGCAGTGGGATGTTACACTGAAAAATTGCCTGGGTTAATTTTACCCAATAAAGGGTGAAAACTGGAACTACCCAAACTTGGGTTGTTCGATAACCAATTGTTTGGGTTAGAATTTATGTTAAATTCAACCAAAAGTTGTAGTCATACAAGACCAAATTAAATTCGGTCTTGAATGACCACAAGTTTTAGAATTAACCCAGGCAATTTTCAGCGTAGAGGTCCACTGTGTCTTGGGCGCGGCATAGGCCTATGAGTGGCGGGGCCCAGTCCTCTCCTCTCGCCGTCTTACCTTCCCTGAACGAATCAGGTACCCATTTTACTGCTGGGTCGTCAGAGAGAGTTTTCCAGTTTTTGGTCCGAATGGGATTCGAACCGTCAACCTTCCACTCCGTAGCTCCTCACTCTAACCGCTCGGCTACGAGGCCCCTCAGGTGCGTTCATACAGATCTTCAAACGACGCTCACAAATCTTCAAGTTTTTAAGTTCAACTTGTTGTGGAGTAGAACATAATAATAAAAAAAATCAGGAGAAAAAAAAAGTAATTGGGACTTTAACTTTCATATCCTATTATGTTATTTGTATTCCAGGTCTATTCAGTAAGTGAACTTAACAGTTGTTTTGTACAATGTACATGTACTTTCATATATGAAAGAACATTAAATTGACTGAATTGCCATTTTTTCATGCACTAACTTATTTTTGCAACAGCTCCCATTGGTTTTGTACATTTTCGAATCGAGGACGTCCTCAATTTGAATCCTGTCCTCAATACACAAGGTTGCTTCACATGTGTGTCCTCGATATACACAATAAACATGCACATGATTGTTTCCTTTCTCGCTCAAAGATTGCCACGAGGAATGTACGAATGGATGTTTCGGGCCGGGCCCAGAAGAATGTTGCCATGAACAGTGCCACGAAGGATGTACCGACTCGACCGACGTGGGATGCAAGGTAAATTGACCCACAGTATGTTAGTCGAAAACAAAATTATCCCCAGTTGAAGGGGGCTATAACAATCTTCTGTTGTTGAAAAGAAAATTCATTTTTTTTAACAACAAAAATATTACTCCAGAAGCTGGTGCAGTGAAGTTCTTACCAAAAGTTAATTGTCAACGATGTTGGGAGACATTTAAAAAAACAAGAAAAAAGGAATTTCCATTATTAAAGTTCCCGCCCCAAGGGTTTAGGGGGGGGGGGAGTACCGCTTACAAATGAACCATGAATTTCGTTGTGTCAGCTATATATAGGCCTAGTACATCATTTGAGACAAGGATGAACAATATTATTGTTGAGTAAACGTCCGTGGGAAATTCTTGTTATGTGATTGTCTTGTCGTGCCTAATGCAGGGGATAGGGTACGTCTAGATAGTCCGAAGTACCATTGGTCCGAAGTCCCATTGGTCCGATGTACCAGTGGTCCGACTTTCCAGTGGTCCAAAGTCCCAGTGGTCCAAAGTCTCATTAGTCCGACGAAACATATTACTGTGTAGTTCCACTAGTTCAGGTTGACTGACACCCTAACCCTAACCCTAACCCAAACCCTAACCCTATAATCCTATGGGGCGTTGGACCAATGGGACTTAGGACCAATGAGACTTCCGACCAATGGGACTTCGGACTAATGGGACGTTTATACCAATGGAACAGAGCAATGGGCCGTCGGACCAATACTTATCGGACTTCGGACCAATGGGACGCCGGACTATATCCGTCCCCATTATCTGCACCGTTCTCCGGAATTATAAACGCCCGTTGGATAAAACGTGAAGTTCTCCATTTTGATTTATACCCATGACAAGGATGTAGGCCTAACTGCAAGACAGTATTAAACATTTGCTCCGTGCGTTAATATCATTCGGATGGATATGTTCTTTCTAGCTTAGAAGCAGCTTGTCATTCTGTGTCCTTTCTCTTAATACATCCCTTTCCAGGAATGTAGGACCGTGAGAGTGGACGGTACATGCCAGGATAGCTGCGGGCCCGCGTTCATCTACAATGAGGTCACTTTGGAGCTGGAACCAAACCCAGAGTTTAAGTTCCAGCATGGACAGGACTGCGTGGAAAAGTGTCCCAAGTGTAAGAAATTAAAACAAATTTCAACCGGAAACTCATCTTTATACAAGAGAAGATGGTAGATAAACTGGTGGTGTTTCAACGATGCCCTTGGTTACATTTTCGGAGGAAAACTCTGCATAAAAAGAACCCCTTACGAAACCAGCCTGATCGGAATTCGAACGCAGGTCACTGAGGTGGAAGTCGGGGAAAAACCTTTCTCTGTATCATAACACATTGAGCAACTCAACTTTTGGACTTTCTGTAAGGTGGTATAAGTAAGAAAATTCAGATATGTTTTTGCAATGTAAAAACAGGTATATTTGTGTAGGTACGCGGAAAACATCCACGGTCCACTATCAGAATGGAAACAAAATACATCATAAATTCTACAGAAATTTATTTTGTTTATTTTCCCTGTCTAAACAGTTGCCTTTACGGAGGGTTTCAGGTGCGTCGATCGATGCAGTCCGGGGTATAGACCTGAGGGTGACCAGTGCCTCCGGTGCGGTTGGGCATGCCCTAAACAAGGTATGATATATTGGTTTTCTCTTTTCCAACCTATGCAAATGCACGTACTGTACGTGGCACTGTTTACGTGGTTGGTGTACGGCTCTGTGGTTTAGCGGGGATAAAACCCCATTGGTAATTTATTCTTTAATTTTAAGGTATGCTATCTGATTTAATCGGCACAGGACAGTTTGGATTACAAAAATATTACCAGACTCAAAAGGAGTGTAATTGCTTATGACTAACCCTTGTCCGTATTCGCTCAGCAACGTTTTATATATTCCTACATTAACTTTGGTCAACTTTGGTCAAGATTGTGACGTTTGCAAGAAAGAACCTAGAAAGTTTTGAAATTACTGTCCCACAGTCAATGAAGTTAAAATGGTCGAGAAAACATAAGTCACAAGACTGAGTCTCCTGAAGATGGTCAAAGCACACTGCTCGATACGTCGAGTTAATCGGTTTTGACCACACACAGGTACGTCAAAGATACACGTACATGCATATGGTGCTACCGCCAAAATGTGTACTCGATGTGTACTGTAAGGTTCAGGGTGAGATTTTTGGTCTAGTGATCAAGTTCAACTGAGTTTTCTATATGAAATACATATACACTCAAAACAGGTGAGGTCAACCCGCTTGTGAGCGACCAATGTGATGGAGTCAAGCAGTACGAGTGGGGCGTGATCAATAGAAAGAACAGCCCGACAGGCAACGTGACTTGTACTCAGGTGCTGATTGGTCCGCCGGGTAGTACGCTGAAGCTGAAGCTGACGGACGTGGATATTCACAACGCCATTGGTGAGTCATTTTTCATATGGATTAAGAGAAGGCCATACGATTAAAACACTGACAATAAAAGGTAAAATTTTATTCCCCCCCCCCAAAAAAAGCCGATCGCTGTCATTTTTTCTTGGACCAGGATAGAACCTGAGGTTACCAAATGGACAAGGGTGCTTACGCAACATTAGAAAGCGGCGATATCCTATTAAGTTTCTTCATGCAACCATGTGACTAACTCTCAGCCAATCATAAATGCATAGATCTTCGCAGCAATACAGAATGGACACTGTATTATGGACAACCGTTAAACCGGCATCCGGCCGGCACACAGCATGAAAAATAAATTTGGCCACTCGGACGAGGCGACATTTGAATCTTGTACGAGAACGATTGTTTTTGTCGCAAAATTTATTTGTAAAAACATGTACCAATGATAAAATAAATATTCATGAGACGATCTATTTTGGCAGATGAGAAACTGGTCCTCGTCGCCGATGAATACCGCCAAAGCTTTGACCGCGAAACCTATGCTACAACCCTGGACCTACAGACCAGCGCACTCATCGTCCAACACCGCACAGTGGCCACGGGCAACGGGTACATCCTTGCGTACAACTTCATGCCTCCTGAGGGCGAGGTTACCGACCATGGTATTAGCAGACTAGGAACCCCCAACCCCTTTCGGAAAACAACCAGCAGCCTTACAACTTCTGTGATTTCAAACGGTGTGCGCTTCTCAAACAATACCACATAGCTATACGACAATAATTCAAGGCAAAATCCGTATACTGAGGCGCCGGCCAGCCCGAGTCTTAGACTCGATAGATTGAAATTGAATAAGTAAGAGGGAACCGGACGTAGACGAGCTTCCAAGACTTGACAAGAATGAGCGATCTCTCTGGTGACTTTATACAGTGCCTGACAGGCAAAAATGACCGCGGTACAAAGTATGCACAAGACGTTAAATCCCGGGACATACCGTTATTTCGTTTTACCGTTTTGGATTTCCTCAAAAACAAAAACAGGAAACGCACCGTTGACCGTTTTTTTCGTTTTACAGTTTTGTAAAACGGTCAAACGGTATTAGGTCACAAAAAACAATGACCTTTTTGTTGTTTTTCTTAATTGTTGAAAGCGATAAACGGTTAGTTGCTTCGTTTCAGAGTGTTGTTTTACAAGAACATGACAATGAAAAACGGTCAAACGGTACTGTCGACCATTTTTTGATTTAGGTTAGGCAATTAAGCAATGCACCTATAGGAATGTCGATGCGTCCTCATGGGATCGAGTAATTGCCTGGGACCCAAATTACCCTCCTCACATTTCTCACGACATAGTTTTCGAACTGGCTATTGAAGAGCCGCGCCGAACTCCAATTTCCTTCAAATATCTGCAACTTCTTCAAACGTATTACCTGTATCCATTGTAAAAAGTATTGTCCCCCCTTGAAGTTTTCCAGCGCCATTTTTGCTTGCAACTCTTAAGCCCCACCAACTGAATCGCGTGAGAAGGGGGTCATGGTCACGCCAGGAATCACACCACGCATTATGCCGAGGTAACACTTTTTCATGTAAAGCATGGTCCCCCTCCATCCCCCTTGCCCAGCACCACAAAATGCACCACGGACTGTTCACTATGACACTGAAATAAAAAACAGTCTGTATTCAATACTGACCGTTTTGCTGTTTTTCAAAGTTATTTGTGTAAAACTGTAAAACAAAAATCATTGATCGTTATGCTGTAATGAATTTTAATTAACTTATAAAACGGAGAAACCGTATTTATCTTAATAGCGTTTGACCGTTTTACAAAACTGTAAAACGACAAAAAGGTCAATGGTTTGTCTACTGTTTTTGTTTTGAGGAAATGTAAAACGGTAAAACGAAATAACGGTGTGTCCCGGGATTACGTGAGGGCCTGCGAACGGATTTGCGGCAAGCTATTCCTAGCAAGTAGGCTATGCAAAAAAAGTTATACATTATTACATTATCGCCTTTAAAAACCCTACGCGCGAGCTTTCTGTATATCATGGCCTGAAATCATCAATTTGCATTATGATTTATGAAGGAAATAGTTTTAAACACTGAAAAAATATGCGCTTTATAAAACACCACAAGCGCGCCTAAAGTTTTGGAAGACGGCAAAGTTTCAGCTTAAATAGGGCCTATAATACACTGAACCAAAACAGAAAGTTCCCCCTTAATCCTTTTTTGTCATACTCAAAAACCACTGTATAGGCACATCTTGCTCAAATTACAATTGATCAGATCAGCAATTCCTTAGCAATCCAGCCATACTCTTTGTTTGGCCGAAACAGTGATAATGTGTACAACATTGTGCAATTTATGACAAGTGGTACCGAAACAAAGTTGCACTTTTGTATACGTGCATGCAAGGTGAGTGTGAACCTCAACATGCACGTATACCACAGTGAATCTGTTTTCGGTATCATTTTGTGTCATTTCGGTATCATAAATTGCATAAATTCGTACACATTATCAACGTTTTGGGCCAAATAAAGAGCATGGCTGGTTGCAAAGGAATGTCTGTACTGATTAGTCGTTTTTTGAGCGAGAGGTACCCAGTAGTTTTTGAGTCAGACAAAAAGTATTGGAAGCTTGGGGGGGGGGGGTCTCTTTTGGTTGAGTGTAGTTCATCCTGATATTTCTTAACTATTTGCCTCAGGCTGTGACCAAGTCTTGACCACCAACAGTGGTAGCTTCAAAAGCCCAGGCTATCCCAACAAGTACCGCGCACGGGAGCACTGCACCTACCACATCATCGTGGACCCAGGCATGAGGGTGGAAGTGGTCTTCGAGCGGCTGTATCTGCAAGGTGATGAGCCGGCCTGCCTGGCGGATAAAATGGAGGTAAAACTGTGTGCTGTGTGTATTTCGCTGTTATTGCACTGAGGAAACCGTAGACCTGTTTATTCAGTCTTTTCTGGGCTTTTTGTTCCAGAATTTGACTCTGAAGTAAACAACCTAGTCACAAACTCCAAAATAAGTCAGTTAAGACAAGAAGTCAAGATGAGAAGATGGGCTTCGATAGGTCCACATTATAATGAGAAAGAAAACTGACCATCATTGCATAACGACATAGACTTGCCAATATGAAGGCAAAGAAAAAGTTGGGAAACGAAAACAGCATGGATGACAGTCTAACGGATGATGAACAGAACTCGGATGAATAAGTTGGAATGAAGGCAGAAGTCAAACTCAAATTTGAAGTTGGAAAAGGATCGGGGAGGCCTTATGTAACTGGGTTTCGAAGTCAGCAGATCAATAATCAATTTGTTTAATTTCCAGGTGATTGAGCCGATTCTGAATACACATGTGACTCACTGCGGCCGCAAAAAGCCTCCATTCACCATCATCTCCAAAACCAACTGCCTTGTGCTCAAATTCACTAGCGACGACAGCAGAAACTTCAAAGGATACACAGCCACATTCAAGGCGGTTGAGGTGCCGGAGGGTGAAAAAGAAGACTTTTCAGTCGACACTGAGGAGGACCTACCCCCTGCCTTTTAGGAAGAGCCGGGGTATTAGCAGAAGTGTATACCTTTAATAGGATTTGGTGCTCATAGTAAATTCACAAGTTTGCTCTAGGCTTTTCAGTGTACAAGAAATTTACTTTTCGAATTAAAGCTCACCTCAAACCGTCGTCACATGCTACTCTTCTGTCAGGCTTGCGTATATAGTCTCAGTGTCTGTCCTGCAGAAATCAGTCTTGTGGGTGTAGAAAACTCTACTGAGTAGATCTTGAACATATCTGAAACCAAAAGTGACGAGTTTCAATTTTCCAAAATCTGGAAAGCATAGGAGCACAATTATTTTCGCTGTGCGGAAGCATGTGCAAAATGTGGTCCAAGGTCATTTGCAAGATACTTTTTTAATCAGTCCCTGGTTAGCATTTGTCGAGATTATTTGTATTTTTGTATGACACAGGCTTACACAATGAGCTGGTATAACAGACCATTTTAGACGCCCCTGCAATTAATGTCGTAGAGATGGTTGAACGTTATTCACATACTTTTTATGCCATCGTGAACAGAAAGCATTCAGCCTCATTATAATAGGATATTATTGGTTGAAGCAGAACACAGACCGGGAACACTATGGCCGGGAGTGAGTGCCCCAATACCAGAACAATGTGCTCTCCCTTGAATCTATTTGTCTGCTGCCACCTATTGACAAACAAGAGTGATATTGCTTTAAAACTCTTTCAAGAAACGTTATTACACAACAACAATGTGATAGTGATATTAAACTTTAGCGAACAGTATTTCCGTCTCGAATTGACATTTTAATATGAGACCACCCTGTGGATAATTCCCCTGAAGGTAGCCATACAAACAACACAGTATACATGTAACACAAAGTGTACACCATGTGGCACTAGAGGGCGCTGTTTATGATACAAATGTACATTTTATGCAACTGGCGCATTTGCAATACATCAAAACCTGTTCGTTCTCCGTTTTTCAGTGCTATTTAATACGTTTGGGCTGTAAATATCGGCATTTTTTAATTTCTCCCCACAACAAGTTTACAAGGGGATGTTCCAATGGCCCATCCCCCGGGGCCCACCCCCGGGGCCCAGTCCCCCGGGGCCCATCCCCGGGACCCCTCCCCCGGGGCCCTCCCCCGAGGCCCATCCCCCGGGCCCATGGGTTGACTTTTTCGAGAAATTCTCGCCCGAAGAAGACGACCCCTATTTTTTCCAAAGCCATCTTGGAACGGTAGCCATCTTGAAAAACGATCCCTCTCAACATGGCAAAATAGCGCCACTTTCGAGCCCAATTGCGTCCGGTCCAAAATGCTCAGAATTGGATGTCCCAAAGTCCGGGCCAGGGGTTCATTGCCATATCTCTTCAATTTCCCAATGTTATGGCTCTCAGAACTCTCTAATATAGAATGGATTTAGGCCTATTTACCGGTAATCGCGCGCCCTCATGCGACCACCTCAGAAAAAGGTAATGCCTTGCTATTGTTGTCCCTCGGGACGGCTGGAAAATCTCACGGCCCATTTCTTCCCACAGCTTTTAAAATGGCAGAGAGGTGGGCGGTCGCACGTTCTTCAGTGAGGGTGGAATTTAATTGCCAGAAACTCAACGACCACTAACGACCTGCTAATTTCTCGATCATAAATCCCCCGTGGCGCCACAGGAAAAAAAGGCTAGATATGAGTGCGTTCATAATTTCTGTTTCCATAAATATTGAGATGACCGCGTTACTCTGATGGATGGATGCTATTAGGAAGTCAATTATTCAGAGATGCATCATTACTATTTCACAGCAGATGCATTGTCTATGGAGCAATTAGCTAGATGGCATACATTGTAAATGGCGTGTGTTTGAGGCAGACCTCAATAATGTAGGACACAAAAAAGAAAAAATGGCAAATTAAATCGTGAATAAAAAAAAAGTGGTTCCAGTTTCAACTTCATGCATAAAAGGAAGACAACTATGAAGCCATAGAATCGGCCTAGTAAAGCTAAGTCTGTCCCGAGCCAATGTGAAATGCAGTCAGGTGTTGACCTCCGGTTTCGGAGGCATATGAAACGACCGAGAATATTTTACCCCCCCCTATGGGATACCAGTCCATTACATTGCACGTTCCTCCCCAGCTAATGCCAGTACCTATTTATACTCATGGGTGGAGAGAGGCAAGTGAAGAAGACGTGGCTTGCCCAGGGACACAACATGATGACCAGCAGCTGGATTCGCACCCCTGACCGTCAGATCATGAATACGAACCCTTATAGATGGCCACTAGGCTATCACTCCCCCAGTAAAGGCCTATAGTTATAAGCAGGTATTAATATACACCTCGTCTGAAATCAGATTCGCGGAGCTGCCAGGTTCAAATATTTGCCAAGTATAATACAGAAAATTAGTTTCTAAGCAAATGCCAACATTTCATGCATTATAGATTTGATTAACCGGCTCTCAGCTGAGATTTTTCTCGGCTCCATTTGGACACAAGGGTGGATCCGGGGGGGGGGGGCAAAGGGGGCCATGCCCCCCCCCCCCAAACGAAACCATTTTTTTTTTTTTTGATGTGACATCGCAATAAAGGCAGGCAATGAGTACACCACCATCTTTACCTTAAAAAAACATTGGTTAAAGTGGTCAGAAATTGCCTCAGATCGCACCACAGAGCATCTAGAATCCAAAAATTTTTCGGGGCCCTTAAGCGGGCCCCGAACCCCACGCCGTCATTTTTTTGACCCACTTTTTGGGGGGACCAAAAAATTGTGTTCTGGATCCGCCCTTGTTTGGACACAGACCACAGAATCTGAAATAATGTCACCTTACACAATCATGTTATAGCGAGTATCAAATACATTGAAATGAGCATCATTTTGTCCTAGGTTACTGCCTTTTATTGTGGATGTTTGTGTGCCTCATCTTCCCAGGCCCCTGGGGGTATTTATATTTTGGTTTGAGGGCACAAACGGCACACGTAAGAAATAAGATAACCGTTTGACAGCTTCCCGAGTAAGACCCACCCAACCCTATACATATTAAGAGGACCAGAACGAGCCTTGTGTATTTCTCTTAAGATAGAAAGTTTACCAAAGTAACATTCCATGTTTACATGCCTGTAGCGGTCTTTACATTCGGTTCCAAGCGGCATCTTTAGGTGTACGCACAAGCTCGTTTCAGTGCTCGTAGATTTTGTCCATAACGGAAATATGGGCTGAGGAAGGTCCTAGTGCAATGAAATATTTGACATAGGGCGGGTGTAATAAGTAAACATGTAATACCATGCGATATTTATGAAATAGACCCCTCAGTACTAGGTGCTCGGGGCGCTTCGTATACGTGTTACATCGGGCCGTTTTGTAATCCCACAACGGTTATTTCGGCACCTTCAATCCAAATAACCATCACTTCACCCGTTTACAATGTAAATACCAATGTACGCGATTTAGAGTGAATAAGCGCAGAATAATACACTTAAAATGACTTGCCCAACGGGCCGTAACTGTATAACTATGATAGACTTGAAACCACCAACTGTAAAACAACTTTTAAACAACATTCTTCATTCGCAACCCTGAGTCAATATTACTGTAGTGGGACGGCAACAAGGATGCCGGCCCTCTATAGTTAACCCTGCGCAGCGTGTACACTGAAAAAATCCAGCCATTAAAGAGGACGAGCACCAGGAGCAGAATGAAAAGGAGGAGAATCAGACCAAAATGAAGGCCACTCTTAGAAGCTGACTTTAGTTAACGGACGATTGGCACTTTTATTTACTCCAACTCACAGATGTACCGGAATCAAATAAACCCCCATTGCCTGGAATAAACGAAACGTACACACTGTTCATAATACATGGTAACTGTACTACACGCACTGGCCATGCAGATGTCACAAACACGTCAGAGACTTTTACGTTCAACAAACTTTACTTTCTGTCATAATTCCTACAAATAACACTTAAATATACTCACTGGGGGTTTCTTAGGAGAATGCTCTACCACGCAGGACACATGGTCGTCTGGCACACGAAATTGGTGGAAAACGAGACCGAAATGTGGCTGAGAATGTGTTCGGTTAAAGAATCTTCCAGAAAAGACCGAGAAAAGTATACAATCTCGAGGTGCTGACTAATCACTCGTCTGAATATTTATACGCTATAAGGCAAACACCTCGACAAAATTCAACCAGACAATGAAACTACAAGCAATAATCTTGGAATTACATGTATAAAATATTTGAAGTGGAAGTATACAATTATACAATAATAATCCCAAATTAAATTGTGAAAGATGGATCTAAGGACTAGCTTCTCATGTTGTTGAAGATGAATGTAAATCGTCCTTGCGCGGGAAGCACAAAGGTTACCAACGATGTAATGTTCCATATAGAAACATGCAAATCAGATACGTCATCTGCATAATAATATTGGAAAAGGCTAAAGAGGTCGCCCTTGCTCCTACATTGCATTTTATTTCAATTTTCATGAAAATACTATGCTAAAAAACTTTTTTTTTAAAGTTGTAAATAATAAGCAAAATTCAGCTGGAAAGAAACCGTTGAATCCAATGGCCGTTTTATGTATGTACAAGCATTACATTCACTCTGTGGACTTCCGAACAAAAGAGGTCCACATAAACCAGGAGTTGTGTGGACTAGCTTGCCCACGTCCACACAATGTTTTTCCCTTTCTGGAAAACAGGTTTATAGATGCATTTTGGGTTAGGTTTACCTGTGGCTAAATGAAGAGAAACACTAAAGCGAATCATAGAAACAAATTTGGGTTGAAAGAGTTTTCACAGTGTGAGTAAAATGAGTTTTTTTTCACAGGTTTTTCTTAACTACACGGAAACAAAAGAGGTATAAACGTAAACGTGACTGTGTTTCTAGTGTTTCTGCTAGCCAGTAATGTTTTGCGCTCAGTGAATTTCTGCGCATACAAGCTCCATGAAATTGGCAGCGTGATTTCAGAGTGACACTGCAATGTGCACATTACTGACAAGTTCTCAATTTGGGTTACGATGCCGGGAGTCGATATGTCTCCAGACGTCTATTGCCTTGGTGCCCTTTGATGAGAGCAGGGCGACAGGTTGATTAAGGGTGGTTCAATGTTGAAGTGTCGCCTTCCAAACAGTGCAGTGTGACTGTGGTAGCACTCACTGTTGGAAATAATGTACGTCTATAATGTTCACAACACTGGTATAGTTCAATCTATGCTTTTTGCTTATGCTCGCATGCATAAGTGCGATATAGCTCTAGGCTGAAACGTGTTAGGCCTAATTGTGAATGGTATCGAGATGTCTAAAGGATGGTATAGGTTTTCCTGGCCAATTTCCTAAAAATTAATGCTCATTCGCTTCTGAAAATGGGTCATTCATTTTCGTCTGAATTTGAGAATCGTTCTGAACACGCGATTCAATTTCGCTACCAGAGTATTCTATTCCATTCAGTTCTATCATTAGGTGATTGAGCAGCACCTTTCGTGTATGTCCACTCAGATTCGTGCACAAGACTTCTTTTTTGATTTTCGAGGGCGATTTCAGACATTCACTATTCTATTTTAATTTTTGGTTAATGCCTTCGGCACCAGACACAATTAGGGGTTTCCTTTTCATTAACCGTCAATCAAATTAGCTGTACCTGAAATCAATTTACAAACGGTATGCATGCGTAAATGAATGCGCAGGTAACGTAAATGGCCGTCTGTTTATCAAAACCGAATGCACGAACAATGAAAACGATTGAACTTTCGTTGAATTGAAATGGGATTAAAGATGTGCATTCAAATTCAGA